AAAAAAAAGTCTGTTCATATTTAATGCCCTGTATTAATCAATGATTTGTGTTCAACATTATTTGAACCATTTGCCATTACTGAAAGAGAAATACTTATTTGTGTTTTAAATAAAACTGATAGAGGGAATAAAAAAAAGAATAGAGTACTTGAGCATTTCCTTAAGTGTCTTTCAACCATTTTAGATTCTTTTGCTGAGAGTTCTCAGGTTAGGTGTGTACTTCACTTTTTATTGGGTTATTTGTTCTTTTGGTGACCAATTTCTTGAGTACTTTGTATATTTTAGAGATCAGACCTCTGTCTGATGTGAGGTTGGTGAAGATATTTTCCCATTCTGTAGGCTGTTATTTTGTCTTGCTGACTGTGTCCTTTGCTTTACAGAAGCTTTTCAGTTTTTGGAGGTCCCATTTATTAATTGTTTCTCTCAGTGTCTGTGCTGCTGGGGTTATATTTAGGAAGTGGTCTCCTATGTCAATGCATTCAAGCGTGCTTCCCACTTTATCTTCCATGAGGTTCAGTGCAGCTAGCTTTATGTTGAGGTCTTTGATCCATTTGGATTTAAGTTTTGTGCATGGTGATAGATATGGGTCTATTTTCATTCTTCTACATGTTGATATCCAGTTATGCCAGCACCACTTGTTAAATATGCTTTCTTTTTTACATTTTATTTTATTTTTTGCTTCTTTGCCAAAAATCAGGTGTTTGTAGGTGTGTGGATTAATACCCGGGTCTTCAATTCGGTTCCATTAGTCCTCCTGTCTGTTTTTATGCCAATGGCAGGCCCAGCAATACCACTTTTTGGTATATCCCCAAAGGATGTTCAATCATACCACAAGGACATGTGCTCAACTATGTTCATAGTAGCATTGTTTGTCATAGCCAGAACCTAGAAACAACCTAAATGCCCCTTGACCAAAGAATAGGTAAGGAAAGTGTAGTACATTTACACAATGGAATACTACACAGCAGAAAAAAAATATCATCATCTTGAATTTTGAGGGCAAATGTATGGATCTAGAAAACATCATATTGAGTGAAGCAACCCAGACCCAGAAAGACAAATGTCATATGTACTCACTCATAAATGGTTTTTAAACATAAAGCAAGGAAAACCAGCCTACAAATCACAACACAGAGAACCTAGACAACACTGAAGACCCTAAGAGAGACATACATGGATCTAATCTACATGGGAAGTAGAAAAAGACAAGATCTCCTGAGTAAATTGGTAGCATGGGGACCATGGGAGAGTGTTGAAGGGGAGGGGAGAGGCAAGGAAGAGAGCAGAGAAAAATGCAGAGTTCAATAAAAATCAATTTAAAAAAGAGTAGGGTACTTGTCTGGTTCTGTCACTGCTGCTGAAGGTTACCTCCCACCCCAACCACTCACCATCCAAACTCCATCCCTGCACTCCACCCCTCCACCCCACCCCTCCCCACCCCAACATCCCTGGCCCTCACACCTATACCGCCACCTCCTCCGCTAGCACCACTCTGGGCTGTGCTTTTGTGGTTCCTGCCTTTTCTACACCAACTCCCCGACATCCTCCAGCATCCCCGAGGTCTTCACGGATGGATTTGGTCCAGCAGCCACCAGAGTTGGATCTTCCCAGGGCCTCCAAACTCTTCCTGGGTATTTGCTGAAGCTTCCCACGGCTTCTTTGCCCTTCTGATTGCCTCCATGCCCCACGTGTAGAAAGACAGCCCTATACCAAGTTAGGACAAGCTCTGTGACACTGGGGAATCTGAAGGTGTTCAGGGACACAACTGCCTTGGGAGCAGTTAAAGGTGGAAAGCAACAGTTAACCTGTGCGTTAGCTCTGGGATGCCATAGCAAAACACCTGAAGCAATAACTATTTTAAAAGATGGGCTTATTTTTAGAACATATCTGTTCAGCTATAAAAATAATATATAAAAATAGCACCTACTTCTATAATAGTAGCCAATTAAATCACATTTTAAAAATATTAGATTTCTAAAACTAAGCATAAAAAATTCAGACTGTAAGTTTTTTTCTCTTTGTTTTTTCCCCAGTTAATTCCATTTTTTTAATTTTTTTAAATTTATTTATTTATTAAAGATTTCTGCCTCCTCCCCGCCACCACCTCCCCCACAGAGTCTAATTAGAACTGCAGGCTGCATGGGATAGGGCCAGCACAGAGTGTGGGCAGCACCCATCCACAAAGCATTCTGTCCCCCAGCAACCACAGCTGCCAAGAGCTCCCAACTAGGAGAGGGGTTTTAGCAGCCTCTTCTCCATCCAGGTTTTGGCTCACAGTTCTGAAATCTCCAAAATTAGGCGGTTTTATTTGGTTGGGACTTTTTAGGAAGGTAGAACTTCCAGTCAGCATCTGGTGGGCTGGCATAGCTCACAAGCCAGGAAAAGAAATGGAAGTGATTGCGGGCTCATCACCCCTTAAAGGATGGCTCAGTAAGGAAAGATTTTCATTAGGATACAGGTTGTTACCTTGGAAACCAGGATCGTTCATCTATCGCATAGCAATCTGCATCAAAACTAAGAAGTTGCACATTGTTCTTTCAAAATTGAAAAGCAAGCCATGTGCTGGAAGAAGATACTGTCACGCCTGACAAAGGTCCTGGTGTGCAGAATACACAAAGTAAATGGGCCAATACGAAAGAATAAGCACCTGGGATTGAGAAAGAACACATACACACAGGCTCTTCTGTAGCAAAAAGTTTAATTGTTCAAAAAAAAACCAAAACAAAAAAAAATGAAGTCAGATATGAGGGGGTGAAAGCTGAGGGATCGGAGTGGCCAACCATATCACTCCTGTCTCCACCTCCCTAGTGCTGGGATCAAAGGCATGGAATCCCAAGTGCTGGGGACACCTTTGTTTGAGCTCTCTCTCTCTCTCTCTCTCTCTCTCTCTCTCTCTCTCTCCTCTCTCCTCTCTCCTCTCTCCTCTCTCCTCTCTCTCTCTCAGACTGAAGTGACGTGGTTGTAGCCCAGGGTAGCCTTGAACTAACAGAGATCCCTCTGCCTCTGATTCTCTGGAGTCCTGGGATTAAAGGTGTGTGCTTCCACTCCCTGGCCTGTAGCAGTTTAATGTTACACATTGATCTTCAGGCTTTGTTTGTTAAAACACAAAATATCACCACACTCTTCAAAGTATATAAGTGCCCAGGTCAGGTGAACAGATGGCCAGTCCACTTAGCAATTGATAAAAGGCAGATTAAGGTCACAGTCTAAGAGATATCTATCCAATGAGAAAAGCTGTAAAACTATGACAATAAGAACTATCATGGAAGATGTGATGAGAACTCCAATGTGATAAAGCAAGTATCCTAAATTTGATCAATTTCAACATGTTACTTATTTGAGGTACTCATTAAAGACAACAACAAAAGAAAATATAAGATTTCTTTATGTTGTTATGTATTGAGATTTATTTTAGAATTAGTTAGAGGAAAGGTTTCAATTTTTACTGTCTTTCATAAGACATACCGTCCTATAGAGAAAAGTAAGCATGGTATTTTGAAACGTGATTTCCCTCACGCTCTGGCTGGTTCTGAATCCCTTATGAAGGCAGTTGTCTGGTGCTGGCACCGTCTCTCCACACCATGCCCCCTCTGCCACTCCAGCTACTTTAATACAGAAGGGTGAAGACAAGGGTGAGCCCACCCACACTCCTCTCTCAACCTGGACAGGCTGGTGAAGCTCTGACCAGAAGACAGCATAAAATGACACTGTGCCTGAAATGATGTCATAAAGGGCCCCACATCTCAAACTGCTCACAGCAGACCTTGTCCCCTCAAGCTCTTGAGCCTCCATGAAGAAAGTTCATATCCACTGATGCTGTAAAGAGGCCCAAGTCACAAGAAGAGACCATAGGCTAAGGCTTCATGACTATTCCAATTGAGTCCCACCCTGGAATTCCTTAACGCTGGTGCCACAGGGGACAGTGAGGAAGCTTCCAGACAATTCCAGTCTCTGCTAGTGATTGGCACTTCCCAGGTTTCTTTTCCTAGGGGCCTCCTACTCTACCTTTCCTGAGGGACTGACCCACTTAACTCGAGATCACAATAAAATGGTTAAGCCATCCGTTGGGCCACTTGTCACATGGCAGTGGATGGGGGAATCTCTCCCCACACACAGGGGACACTGGCAGCAGTCCACAATCTCCATCTCTTGCCTGCTGATTTCAGGATCCACAACTGGCCTCCCATTTTCCACACCCTATGAGCTTATGAGGTCAATTACATTCAAACTACCACAAGGACCAAATGAAGTCCAGTTAGGAGACTTTGAAAACTATAAAGCATGCCAAGAAACTTGAATGAAGCCTGGGCGCATAACACAGCAGACAGACATATTTCAATGATGTCCCAGAGCACTCTCACAGGCATCAAATCTCTTATTTGTTTATTCTAACGCTGGGCATCAAATCCAGGGCTTTGCACTTGCGTACACAAGCACTGTATTTGTGAGCTACCTCTCTAGTTTCATAAGCACTTTAGTAGCCCAGATTGGCCATTGGTGTCTTGATTGCTTTGTCCACGGTAACTAGTGAGCTCAGCCACCTTTTCAGTTAACAAAACACCTGGGTTCCTTGAGGGCATCCCCTAAGGATGCCCTGTGAGGGGCTAGGATTAGAGACAAGGACCCCTCATCTGAGACTCCTGCAAAGGACCCATGACTGCCTCTTGTCACTGTCAGCATAAAGGCTAAGAGGATGGGCAGGTCACAAAGTAACCATGTCAACCTTTCTATCCATCACAACCCTAGGGTGTTTTTCCCCTGGTAGGGGAAGGGCTCTGCAGGTAGTTGCGGTAGGGATACCCCAGAGCAACTACCTTCTAGCCCGTGTCCTGAGTTTTTCAGGTGCAGTGCTACTATTGGTGATAGAATACAAGCTGTGATCTTCAATTCCTGGATTCAAGCAGAGGTGGTGGAGACAAAGACCAAGAGTAGCTGTCATTCAGCTCCTTGTGACCTTCCACAGCATCTCTAGAGCTGGGAAGGCCACAGGGACAGACAGCATGGGTATTCACGGTTTCCACATGTCTTGCTTGGCATTCTTTCTGTTACTGTTCTTATTACTGCCTCCCATTTCTAACGCTAAGAGCCTCCGCTACCGTGGCCCTGGCTGGAAACTCTTCCACCGCCTGAGCAAGGACTCCAAAAGTTCCCAGCAACGCCAGGTTCAACAGATGAGGCAAAACTGGAGCCAGGGTGAGAGCCCAATGTCAGAGGACTGCCTGGGTGTTTTCGACCTCTACGTCATCCTGGACAAGTGAGTTGCCCTCCTGCACTGTCCCTAGAGAGTCCTTGGGCATTAGCAGTGGGTCTGACTCTGTAGGACAGGCAAGACATTGTGGGCAGACCCCGGGATGTAGGCTGTCACTGATTTCCTGAATGCAAGGAGGCCAACACAGGCCTCTGGATGGCTCTGTCCCCAACATTTTGACCCTGATCTGGTCACCATGCCCCTCAGGCCCAGAGGGTACTAGGAGCTACCCACAGAGGGACCTTGGAGATTACCGTGGCCTCTGTGGGCACTCTCTCAGCTTTGCTGCTCCAAGTAGCATTATTTTAGTGCCTTAAAGGTTCACCTTTTTTCTCCCGACACAAGAGCCTACCCTGGGAAGAGCCTGTTTTTTTCTCAGTGTGGTAGGGAAGTTGGGCTGATATTTAGACCCCTCCTGGCTGTGAAGAGAGGGAATGGAGATGGAGTCAGAGACCCAGAGAGGCTCGGGGCTTCTCTGGTGGTGCCCCTTCCAACTATCCAATTTCTTGGATTACACTTGCTTACACTTCTATCTCCTGAGCTTAGCCATTTGACGTGTCTGTATTTTTCTCTTATTTTCATACATGTATGAAATGTATTTTAGCATTTCATTGCCATTTACCTGCTCTCCTTCCCCTGTTAACCCTTTGCTCTCTCTCTCCCTGTCTACTCTCGTGTTTGTTTTTTGATGACCCAGTGAGTTTCATCAGGTTGTGTACAGGTCCATCCTTTCCCAGTTTTCCTTTTTTCTTTTTTTTTTTTAGCCCAATCTTGGGTGATAGTCCCCTGACCTCAGAGGGTGTGATATAATGTCTCACTTCCACCTGAGTTTCAAGTCATTCCACGTGGAAGGAATTACCTACTCTTTAACCAAGTCCGAGCCTCTGCGATTGCTGCTGCTCGTTGCAAAATACAAACAAAATTTTTGGCCAAGGTTGTTTGGTCAAAGTCGATGCTGATAGTAATCATAGTTGTTTAGAAAGATGTTTAATGGATCCTTTGTATCCTGTTAGCAAAACAATAGCAGTAGCTTCTCTACCAAAGCCTATGATCTCCCCGCTACAGGCTTTTGACTATGTTTTATAAGACCAGATAAGAAATCCCTTTTGTGGAGTAGGACTCAAATTCAACCAGAAAGCAACTGGTTATCAATAACAGATCTGCTTTAATTGCACCAGTGGGCACAAGGCTTGCTTGGCCTCTTTCTCAGTTCTTAGGATATGTGCACACTCCAACATAAATGGCACATGTAAAAATTAGGAACTAGGATTCACATACCTCACTTGAAATCATGCTTTCCCGTTGCACCTATTTTCCTGCAAATATGAAAGGACAGAGGGGGAGGTCCTGGGAGCTTCAAGTTTAAGCAGAAGTGGGCACAGGTGGGTAAAGAGAATGGAGTAGTAAGTGGGTTCGCCAAAGCTGAGCATATAGGGGAAGCCTTATGAAGCCTAACTACTTTGTACACTAACTTAAAATATTTCAAAAGAAGTTGGAACACAGTGCCCCACATTGGTGAACAATGCTGCTCACAAAAGACATGGGTTATTATGTGAAAATCTCAGTGTGAGACACAGATACCTCTCCATACATTACTGGCTTGGGGATTCCCCAGAGGTACCCAAACATGTTATTGACATTACTCTTGGCTGTCCACCATAACTAGATGATAAGACCCGATTGTTGATGACACTACATACTGTTGTTATATAGGACACAGAGAAATAAATCTTGAACTGGCCAAGACTGTCTCTCTCTCTCTCTCTCTCTCTCTCTCTCTCTCTCTCTCTCTCCTCTCCTCTCCTCTTCTCTCTCTCTCTCTCTCTCTCTCTCTCTCTCTCTCTCTCTCCCTCTGATGTATAGCTTTCATGGTCCTAGAAGGTGCTAGTCAGGCTGTTGAGGGGGAATAAATTAGTGGTCTTTATCTAATTTAATTGCTGGGCACTACATGCCACAATACTGACCTGCCAGGCAAGATGTATTCACTGGTGCTATAGCAGCATGACTGTTTATGGGGCTAACATAATTTCATTCTTCTTTATGGTGAAGGAAAACACCATTGTATATACATACCGTGTTTTCATGGACTCCTTTTCTCTGCTGTTGAGCAACAATAAACAAGAATAAGCAGGTATCTCTGTGGTCGGGCATAGAGTCCTTTGAGTGTATGCCCGCAAGTATATTTCTGGACTGCATAGTAGTTTTTGCTTTAGTCTTTGTTATTGTTGTTGTTTTCTTCAGAAATATCCATACTAATATCCATACCAGCAGTTTGTACTCCCACCAACAGTGAATAAGGACTCCTCTTTCTCTACACCTGTGTGGGCACTTACTATTGTTGGTTTTCTGGTCATAGCTATTCTGACAGGCCTGAGATCTATTCTCAGAGTGATTTTAATTGCTATTTCCCTGACGGCTAAAGGTGTTGAGCACTTTAAAAATTTATTAGTCATTTGATGTTGACAGAGGTTTCTGCTTCATTTCCTAATGTATGATCACTTTTAGAGAAGTTCCACAGGCTGCTGAGAAGAGCATACATTCTGTAATGTTTGGGTGGAATGTTCCAGAACTGTCTGCTGGGTTCATTTGAACTATGACATCATTTAACATTAATGTTTCTGGCTTTTTGTCAGGAAGACCAATTTATTGCTGACAATGGATGCTAAAGTCACCTTCTCTTACTGTGTTTTGGCTAAGTTGTGGGTTTATGTTTAGTGTTGTTGTTGCTGTTGTTTGTTTTAGTTTGTTTAGGTTTTGTTTTCTCAAGACAGGGTTTTCTTGTGTGGCTTTGGCTGCCCCAGAACACAGTCAGTAGACCAGGTTGTCGTCAGTCTCACAGAGGTCTACCTGCCTTTGCCTCCTGAGTGCTGTGATAAAAGGCGTGTGCTGCCACCACGCAACTTTAATAGTGTTTTTTTTTATGAAATAAGGCGTGCCCATGCTCAGTGTGTATGTGTTTACAATTGCAATGTCCTCTTGATGGAGTCACCCGTAATCAGAAGAAAGTGAGTTTATCTCCAGGTTAGTTTTGACTTGAAGTCCTTTCTGTCAGCCCCTCGATGATGTGAATCTTGTAACAGACAAGCAGGAAACAATGGAGAGCTTTGTTCTGGCTCATGAATGGCTCAGTGGACTAGGCTAGCCTGGTAGGCAAGACATGACAGCTACAGCTGGTATGATATGGGGGCCAACAAAGAGCTGGGAAGATCTAACAATCCTCAAGACCCAACCTATGCCCCCAAATGTTCCACAAGCTCCAGAGTAATCTCACCTGAGAAGGACCTTTGATACTTAACAACCCATAACCCAAGAGTTTAATAAGGGAGCTCCAGGCCAAGCCTGGGTCACCTTCTAGGCCTTTCCTAGTGTTCAAAAGCCTTCTGATAACAATAGTGCCAGTAGCCCTGACTTACACATTCATGGACAGGACTGGGAATTGGTAAGTTAAAAGTCAGTAGAGGCAGAGTGGAAAGCCTCACACATCAAATCATAGGTAGCTCTTCCAATCAAGACATCATCCTTCATCGTGAGACAACACAACCCTCACCTACCATAATCAGGCACTGTGGGAAGCCACTAAAGACCCTTTTGGGGACCTCACAGTCTCTATAGATGAAGCTGTTTGGCTACCTTCTGCTCACTACTGACCCTGAAGAAGATCACCTCTCATGATGATCCACCCTGGTCAGCACTGACACAGCATGTTCCTAAAATAAAAATAAACAAACCAACAAATAAATAAAAACAATGAACACCTGGGAAGGCTAAAACTGCCCTTTCCTACCCTATGATGTTACGTCATACCTTGACATACGACTCCTTTGTCTTCAGGTCAGGCAGTGTGGGCACAAACTGGATCCACGTTTATTCATTTGCGGAAGATTTGGTGAAGAAATTTCAGAAGTATGGCTTCTTCTGGCTGTAATCTCCTCTGTGCTTCAAGGGAGTAGTCCTCTTGTCTCTTAGATTTGATGGGCATGAGATCCCCTCATAGAGGGAGCATAGGCCCAGGCTGGTGTGCTAACATGGGGGACAGCATCTAGTTGGGGTACAGCAACACTGGCTGATCCTCCTTGGGGATTCGGTGTCGTACAGTGACAGAGTCCACCCTCCAGGACCCCTCTGAGTGGGAAGGACACCATGATAGGTGGTAACCTATACTGAGCATAGGATGTTCAGGGCCAGAGGAGTGAGCTGGGGAGCTTGTCATATAAAAACAAAGGAAAAGGCAGGAATCCTCAGAGAAAAGTCTCAGGGTCCTAGAGAAACTGGAGTCCTCAAGGCAGGAGGACAAGCAGGGTCAAAGGGTGACATTACTGCGGCCACAGTGCTTATCATGCACAACTTAAGAGAGGGGTCTATGGCTCACAGGTTCCAGGGGGTTCAGTCCCTCCTTCACAGGCATGGCAAGAGGAGCGTGTAGCCAAGACTGTTCACACCATGAAGACCAACAAGAAGAAAGCTAATGGCAGGGACAGGGACCGGGCTCTAACTGTTGATGGTCTGACTTGATAATCTGCCTCAACCAGCTAGATACCACCTGCAGATTCTATAGCCCCCTGAAATAGTGTCACCAGATGGGGAACGAGTGCTCAAAATCTGGGTTATAAGGGATGTTTCCACCTCAAACTATAGCAGTGACTCCCAGTAAGTGGGTAGTCCCTAAGACTAGGGGAGTGACGGTTGCTCAGGAAAGGCTGGGAGAAGAGGCCCACAGGTAGATTGGGGACAAAGCCATAGTAGAGGTCATGCTAAGTCAAGGGAATCTGATTTCCTGCTGTGTGATAGGGAGAGAGGAGGGGGAGGCATGCTTATGAAGGGCTTCCCAGATGGAGAGTGACCTCTTTGAGTTGGGAGGCAGGGAGGGTGAAGAAAGATGGCTAGAGATGCAAAGAATCTGATAGCCAGGACCAGGGATGATGATGTCCCTATGGGGGAGCGTGAGAGCCTCTCTGCCTGTTCAGAATGGGTGACCTGAGTGTGTGTGCATACGAAAGAGGAAAGGGTAGAAGACAAAGGGAGAAAAAAGAGTGAGGGGAGATGGGAAGAGAGGGAGACTGAGGGAAAGAGAGACTGAGGGAGAGGAGAAGAGAGGTGAAGCATGGGATGGAGCGGGGGTTGTGCTGACGCGTTCTCTCTCTTCCCCGGAGCTACATATCTCTGTGGGCTTCAGAATCCTTTGCCAATTTCACCTTAACCCCTCACCTCTGAATGTCCCCAGTGCGAAGGAGCTGGGGTGGGAGCAGGGATTTTTGTGCATGTCTGCTCCCTGACAGACTGATGATCCAGTGCCTTGGCTTCTCAGTACATGTGCTTTGTCCCCAGCCCTAAAATGCGGATTTCCGTCATTACCTTCTCAACGGAGGCCGAAGTTATCATACCACTCACCTCAGACAGGTAGGTATTGCCCAGTGGCCGGGACACTGGTACCTCGAGGACACTGAAGGCCTTTAGAGATGTCTGCGTCTCCAGCATTGCCCATCCATAGGGGACCTCTGGACCCAACTTGACCCCGAACCCCAGTTTACTAGCACCCTTAGGCCTGTACTTAAGCAGAACTCATAGGCTTGATACTTCTAGAAGTTCTCCACCCCTGAATCTTACCTAAACCCTGCCTATGATAACATATGGGAACTGGGAAAGCACACGTCAGTACCCTTAACACCCATAATAACAGGGGATTGGTGAGACATGCATGTTCTCTGAGAATTCTGGCCTGTGTCGCTCTCTGCTTGGGTAAGTGAAACAGGGAGGCATCTGGGAAAGCCTGAGGAGAGCTCTGGAGTCTGGGGAGCATAGGTCCCCTGTGGTCATCAATCAATAAGGAAGTGTCAAGATGAGAGCCACAGGAAGATATGGGGAAGGGGTAGCCACAAAGTGGGGTGACCCAACAGTGAGAGCATCCCAGAGGTAAGAAGTTGGGGGCTTCTGACTGACGAGGAGGAAGATCAACTTTACCTGCTCTTCCAGAGACTCCGTACAAAGTTAGAAAGCCAGAAAGAGATGTGAAGACATGAAGGACTGGGGTGACTGGAGGTGTGAAAATCTCTGTCCTGCATCCTAAGGGAAAAGGCAGGAGCAAGAGTGAGGGGACAACCTCAAGGGAAGGGACGAGAGTCTCTGAGTCTACGGACACGGCACCCAAGGTCCATCTGGGAGGTGGGGCAGGAACGGACTGACTCCCACGGGTCCAGGCCAGGCCTGCTGCAGTGTACCCTAGTGGCTGGGTTTTGGGGAAACTTGATTAAATTTGAGTGGCAGAGAGAATTCCTAAGGGTGATTCTGGCAAGGAGTGCAGAGAAGCCACGGGGCATAGGAGAAATAGAAGGAGATGCTGGGTGTCTCTCAGGGGTTATCCTGGGCTGAGTGGAGAATAGAAATAGAAAAAGGATAGTGGTCTAGCTCAGGCAGAAGGATAGACTCTAAGGGCAGATAGAGGGGTAAGTGATGGGATGGCCAAAGGCTGGGGGTTGGCTTAGAGTGGAGCTAAGCTGGCCAGAGGGGAGAGAACTGGATTGGGCTATGCTGGCAAAGGGATGAGGGCAGAACTGTGACTGGAACTCCACAGCTTGGGCCCTGATCATCTCATCTTCTAGAAGAACGTATATGGGCCAGGCATGGCCAGCCCTCAAGGCCTGGGTCCCAGTGATGGGAGCTAGTGGAGTCCACAGTCAGGCTCATATCTAAGTACACAGACTGCTGCCTTTAGCAGACTGGAGGGAAGGGAGTCAGGCCAGGGTGCTGTGACGGTGGAGACGGGAGCTGGTCAGTAAGTCAGCAGGGTGGCATGGCCCTCTCTAGACCTACACAGTGGATAATAGACTGTTCAGAAGGAGGGTGACCATGGCATTAGGTCATCCATTCAGAATGCAGAGACCCACTGTGAATCTCTAGCTTAAATCCCAGGATGTTCTCCAAGGACTTAACGGGCAAGGACTCTGTCCAAATCTCCAAGGCCCTGGGTGACTACAGATGTAAACAAACTCAAAGACAACCAGACCTTCCCGTGGGGCCCACTGAATTCCCTGCCCCATCCTGCCTTCATGCTCATGGATCAGAGGAAGACCTGGCTCACAAAGGAGAAAGAGTGTCCCTTGTCCAGTACCCTCTCTCAGCCGGGCTGCCTGCAGGGTGGACAAGGCCGTAGGACTGCTAAGAGATGTTTTGCCACTGCCAATATCTTTCATACCACTTTTCTGTTTTATCCCTTTCAGAGAAGAAATCCAAAAGGGCCTTCTCACTCTCCTCGAAGAGGTGCCTGACGGATTCACACACATGCAGAAAGGGATTCATAAGGTACAGAGAGCTGTAGCCCCCTCTGGGCACAGCTACACTGGCTTGGTGTAGAGGGCCACATCGATGCATCTCACCATTTCTTTTTCTTCTTTTCCTGGCAGGCCATAGAGCAGATCAAAAAGGCCAACTCGGAAGGTGAGCTGTCTGTGCCTTCAGTGGGGCGGGACCCACAGAGCTGGGCTCCCTACAGGGTCTGTGTGTAGATCCTGAGCCTCTTCAAGTCTAACTCTTGAAGCCTGTCGCCCCCCCCGCCCACACACACACACACACATGTAGCTGGCCCCTCTGGAGCACAACACCCCACTCAGGAGGCTTCAGAGAGGACCGAAAGCTGCGTGTGGTCACGTGTAGTCTTTGTTCTCACTAGGGTCCTTGGCATACAGACAGAGTGGGAAATAGAAGAAAACACGGGGCCTGGGCAGACTGAGGACCCTGTGCTGGAAGCCAGGGTTTGGTTTCCCTCTGGCTGCTAAGTCTTCTCCTACCTCTTGCTTTGTTTGGTCAGCTTCTTAAGCCCATGAGACAATCATGTCCAGCCAAGACCTGTGTCCCTCTGGACTATGGGTCTTGTGGAATCCAGTGGGGATTTTTGATGAGGGGCCATTGGGTTCCCTGCCTAAGACTTTCTGACTTGGAGCCTTGTGGCTAGCAAGAAGGTAGTTAGTATAACAAAAGCTATATTTTATTATGCTGAGGGTCATCACACAAGGCTCACACTCTAAACCCCTCACTCTAGTCCTAAATCTAGCTCCCCAAGGCTGCTCTCCTGTGGGTATATCTTAGCTGAAGATCAGGCCCAGACTCTAATAGAAGTCTCCAGCCCCAGGGCAGATCAAGGTGGTGTCTCTCCCGATACACAGAGCAGAGCATTGCTCTTGGTCTCTGATATATAAGTATATGATTATGGAGTGTCCAGTGGGTGTCGTGGGGTTCTAGGACTGTGTCTGGTTATCTTGTGTGAGTGATGTCACTGGGTTCTGGTTATCAGGTGCAGCCCTGGGTGTAGTGGGGATCCTGACTAAGCTATTTTTACATCTCTAAAAGGCATTTTTCACTATGCTCATTGCAGGTCTTGACTCACTGGGTCTACTGTTCCCATTAAGATGTCCCTAACGTAGTGCCTGAAGCTGGTCCCAATCTCCACCTACCTCATTGGGCATCCTCATCAAGGAAGGGTGTTTCCCTCCTGTTTCCCCACCAGCCCAGGGAGAGGCTGGGCTTGTGGCACAACCCTTAGTTAAGGGAGAGGTTCCACAGCCAGGGAATAAGAAACCAGACCTGCTGGGAGGGTCTCAAACCCCTCTGGCTCCTAATCTGTAGAACTAGTAGTACCCAAGTCTTTTCATTCTATGAGACCAAGGAGTTAGAAACAAACAAACAACTTTATTGCCCTGAATAGTGCTGGCTCTGCAGCCTCACCCAGTAGGCCACTCCCACTAAGCCCACCCATTTCTTGCTTCTTCCACAGGCAGCAATGTCAACAGTGTGATCATTGCTCTGACTGATGGGACACTGATGGATAAGCAATTTAAGCAGACTGTGGATGAGGTGAGTCCAGTCTACAAGTATCAGCATTTTGCCTCTGATATTTAGGGCTGTGTGGTTTTGTTGTTGTTGTTGTTGTTTTGGGTTTTTTTTTTTTTTGCTTTTTTTGTTTTTTTAGCATATTCTTTCTTTTAGGCCCAAAAAGCTCGAGAACTCGGAGCCACCATTTTCACCGTGGGTGTGCATGATTTTGACAAAACACAGGTACTTCAGACCAGGTGACCAAGTGCCCCTGTATAACCTATTAGAACAAGATTGTAAAGGCATCTTCACAGTGCCAAGAGAGTGGAACTCTCACCTACCCAAAGTGCCCTGTCTAGAATTAGCCACTGCAAAAGGGTAGCTCACATTGTTGAGTAAGCCAACCCCCTCCATAGAATGGGTAGGAGAGCTTCCCATTCCTGAAGTTTGGACTTTGAATGAAAGTTAGGGTGTGTCTGACACCCTCCTGTCATCATGGCCTCAGGGCAACAGTAACTGCCCCAGGTCTGGGAATCTGTTGCAACAGGCTTCTGGTTTCTGGCTCTGAGGTTCTAACCGGTGACTTTTCTCCGATCATAGATGGTGGAGATTGCAGACAGCCCGAGTCACAGTATCGCGGTTCAAAAAGGGTTCTCTGCTCTGCAGAGCATCGTTGACACAGTGAGCAAGTGGGATGTGGGACACTGGGGAACCCTGTCTGCATTCCTTGAGGCTTACTATCCTACCTATTTAACTCTCTCTCTCTCTCTCTCTCTCTCTCTCTCTCTCTCTCTCTCTCTCTCAGCTTGCTGCCAAGACATGTATTGAAGTGTTATCCGTGCAACCTTCCTATGTGTGTATAAAAAGTAAGAGCTGAGGGGTCACAGACATGGGGAAATGGTATAACTCAAGAGGGTATGTATGTTTGCACAGGTACATGTGATCATGTGATATATGTATTGTGGTAGTATTGATAGTGATCATCACCTTGACATGATCTGGAATTACCTAGAAGACAAACCCCTTAGCGTGACTGCAAGGGAGTTTCTCAACTGGGTTAACTGAAGTGGGAGACAGCATTCTAGACACAGGCAGCAGCATCCAATGGCCTGCGGTCCCAAGCTGAGTAGTTAGAGAAGAAGAGAGTGAGCTGAACACTGGCGTTCACGTTCTTCATGACTGTGGCTATGATATGACCAAATGCCTCGCTTTCCTGCCACCATGAACTTCCTCCCATACATGATGGATTGTATTCTTGAACTGTGAACTAAAACTGTAAACTTAAGCTTATTTGGTCTGGCATTTTGCTGTCACTGATACAGAAAACTGGTATCAGGAGTGATATTGTTGTTAAATTCTGTGTACTTCTTGAGCCTTTGAAAACACCTTGTAGGAGAAAATTGTCTGAAAGTTTGGAAAATTGACACAGAAAAGCACAAGAATTCTCTCAGAAAAGTTTAATGGATCATTTTGTTTGTTTTGTTTTGTTTTTGTTTTTGATTTTTGTTTTTCAATACAGGGTTTCTGTGTGTAATAGTCTTAGCTGTCCTGGAATTAGCTCTTGTAGACCAGGATGGCCACAAACTCACAGAGATCCACCTGCCTCTGCCTCCAGAGTGCACCACCACTGCATAGCACAGTGGGTCATTCTAATGGAAATTTGAAAGACCAGTATGCCAAGAGAAACACAGACCGTGGAGGCCCTTAAAGACTGTTGGGAGCCTGGATAGAGCCCATTCACGTCATAGTCTGGCTAGAAATTTGCCTGTATTGTGTTTGTGTCCTGGGAACTTTAGTGAAGCTGAATTCAAACTTAAAGGGATATTTATTTGACAGAAGAAATCTTAAGACATAATAACACTCAGAGTGTGTCATGGTTACCGCTCATTGCTAACCAGGTCTACAGTGAAGAGAGCCACAGAAGGAAAAGGATATGGGGGGAAAAAGTGCTATTTGGCTGGAGAAAAGGAGTGAATTTTAAGGCTGCAAGCAAGGCTGGAACTGAAAAAGCACCTGTTGTTATTTAAAGTCCTTAGCATCATTCGAGAGAAATCTGCTTAAAACAAGGAGAGTCAGAAAGGTCCCTGAAGACAAGACTCATAAACTGGTCTATCCTATGAAAATGCAAATTTATTTGAAAAGAGAGAGCCTGAACTCAGAAGGGATTTCTAGGTCAAAAGTGACATTCTAGGAAAGTGGTTTCTCAGAGTTAGAAACCAACACATGTAATTACCACTACGGCTTTGTCGTACAGGGGACCCAGCGCCATCCCAAGCTGACAGCAGAACTTGGCAGTGTCATTCATCTGGTACTGATTGTGTGGACACCCAAGATACAATACTGAGGGGGTAACTGAGCCTTGAGAGAGCTCTGTGGGCCTCCTAATGTGTAGCAGAGTCAGAGAGAGCTCTTTAGACACCTTTGCTTAAAGCTGTGAAATTGAACCTATGTTGCAGTGGAGACCCCAGCGTGTTAGGGATTCTAGAACCATGGAGCATCCACTAAAGAAAACTGCAGGCATGTTGTGGGGCCGGCCAAAGAGAGGCTCTGTGTGCTGAAGGAATCAGAGCCAGAAGGGCAGGGCTACACAAGCCCTTTGAATCCAGTGGTTCCAATACAAGTTCCAACATGCTGGACTTCCGAGGTCTGTACTCTTGAACTGTCAGTCAAAATAAGCCCTTCTTTCTTAAGCTGCTTTAATGAGACATTTTGTTACAATGAGTGAAACAGGTAATTAACTTGTGTACGGCTGATGTATGGTTTGTGCACATGTGTTTCTATGTAGAAATGTGTGTAGACAGGAAATTTGGTTTGTGTGTGTATGTGATATGCTTATGACATGTGACATGCATGTGGGTGTATATAATGGATGAATGTGTAGGTGTGATATTTTGTGTAGTATAAGTATGGAAAACTGAGCTGGAGTTTTTATATAAATTATATGTTCTGTGTGTGATTTGTATGTTTTGTAGGTAGGGTATCTTCATGTGATACTTTTGTGGTAAGGTTTATATGTATATATGTATGTAGTATATCTTGTCCCCTCTACACTGGGAAAATTTAGGAGAATATTATGGGAAGGAGGGTACGTGTGGTTTGATATTTGGGGAAGTCAATATATATGGTATCTTGTGGTATAGGTACTGTCTGTAGTCTGTCTTGTAGAGATGTCTTGAGTGTGGTAAGTGTGCTTTTGATGGATGTGTATGAGCAGTGTGTATGGGTATGGCATATGTAATATGATATGGGTTGTTGCAAGGGCTGTGGAGTGAGTGGCTCAAAGAGGCATGGGTGGAGAAAGTGATGACTGTGCTATGTATATTGGGGTGTTGTGTGTTGTGATGCATTGTGGTGTGAAAGGGTATATAATGTGTATGCACCACATGATGTGTTTTTATGACATGTACTACATGTCTGAGTTTTATGAGGCATGTGGTGTCTAGTATATATTTATGGCATGCATTTATGTTGTCTGCTATATGAGAAGAGTATATATGATATCTGTGGTGCATGTTTACAGCTGTGAGTGTAGAATAAATCATGTGTGCTGTTTTATGTAGGACATGGAGCATGTCCATTTATGAGTATATGTGTGCCATTAAAGAGCTTGAAGTGTGTGTGTGTGTGTGAGAGAGAGAGAGAGAGGTATGATTCTGGTGATTAAATATGTAGTATTTCTAAAGGCACATGATATTTGTGTGCTTGTGTTTTATGGCTGTAAATGCCATAGGCAGTATGCATGTGTATGCAGTACGTAATACACATTATAGTTAATATGTGTGTTACCCAGTGTATAAAATATGTGCATATGGTGTATGTGCGCCTCTGAAGGTACTGTGTGTATTGCAGTATATGTGAGGGTGAGGTGACTATGCTTTGGGTATAGTACGATCTACATTTGGAAGGTACATTCTGTGATTTGTATATACATCACATTACATTGTGATGTACATGCGAATACTGCCTATTTATCTCAAAACAGAAGGTTTCGCCGGGCGGTGGTGGCGCATGCCTTTAATCCCAGCACTTGGGAGGCAGAGGCAGGCAGATCTCTGTGAATTCGAGACGAGCCTGGTCTACAGAGCTAGTTCCAGGACAGGCTCCAAAGCCACAGAAAAACCCTGTCTCGAAAAAAACAAAACAAAACAAAAAAAAAAAAACAGAAGGTGTCATAAGGCTAAGAAGAAGGTATTTTTGAAATTCTCAAGGAAACCCTAGAAAGTGGGATGGAACCACCAACACATTCAGAACACTTTGGCTTTGCTAGAAAGACCAGGAGCAGCCAAAGTGGAAATCCGGGTGCAATTTCCACCTTTGCAAGATAGGGTTCAGTAACAAGGTGATCGTAACGATGGGTAAACAAACCATTGGGCGCAGTGGGCATCTACATGCTCCTGGAAATGAGGAAACATCCAGTGCCTGGCAAAGACACGCACAAAAACAGGATTGCTTACCGCACTTGGGTACCATCATGGCCAACACCTGACCTCCACGACTAGAACTGGCAAAGATGGCCTCTGTCCATCCCCAGGTCCCTGCATCCGTGTGCCAGGGACACACGTGTGTTTGTTTCTGGAGGAAGGATGCCTTTCTTTGTCAGTACATGCATGCAGACTTGGCCCTGTAGAGCTAGATCTTATGCCCTGCAGAAGAGAGAGAGGCAGGGAGCTCTACGCCTCCTTTTACCACTGTGGGCAGCTCAGCTCTTCCTCTGCCTTCTAGTTCAGGCAGCTGAGTTCTGACCTCCAAATTCTTCAATGGGAGTCCAAGACTCCAGGCCTAAGAAGACAAGACTAAGCTTGCTTGGGGGCTGTGCCACCCTCAACACCAATGTAAGCCAGAGGGCCATGTATGTGGGCGCTCCAGTACATAGAACTACATTGTGAGATGTAGAGACAACAGAAGGTGTGAGGACAGGCAGCATCTGAAGGCTCATCGGTGTTAAAGACAGAAGCTGACCCTAATGTTTCCATCCTAGTCACTGGCTCCGGGCCATCCCCGCCCCTCCCTGTCTTATGGAAAAGTAAGAAGTCTGCTATGTTGTAAGATGAAGGGAAGAAAGACCTCCGCTTCTGGGATAAAAAATAAAAATAAAAAGGCCAACAGTATAGCCTGCCTCTGACTGTCCTGGAGCCCACCGGCCTTGGTGTCTGGAAAGCTGTGATGATCCCCACATGAAAGCATGAGGTTGTCACTCTTTCCTGCCTGAAGCTGAATGGAGGCAACAGGTGCTTCCAGATGTCCATCCGCTCAGTCACTGACCTGCTAAAGTGTTGGCCAAAAGTTTGTGTTAAGCTCTCGCGTGAGAATACCCGTCAATTTCAGAGAAACCCGAGGCAGAAACCAGGACCCCGAATGCAACAGAATTGGCTGTTTGCTTGAGGTGGTACTGAGTCATCCTGTGTGCTATGGAGCCTGAGGAGAGTCCTTGTAGAGGACGGTCCTTGATCAACCATCCTGAGGCATCTGAAATACAAGGACAGCAGGAATGAGCTGGCCCTGGGCACCGAAGCAGCTATGCAGGCAAATGAGGAAAAGGTAGAGGAATCTGGTCTGTGGAATCACCCACCCATCCATCCTCACTGATGTTAAAAAGACCTTGCTAAACCTCAGAGTGATTGGCAGGATGAGTGAAGTTTAAGAAGAATGGGGACCTGGATCTCAGAGGCGCCATCTCTTTATGAGGGACTCTCTTGGGTGGGTCAGGGACTGGACCCATTCCTTATGCCCCAGCCCTTATTCTTGGGGTCTCTATTCATATACCATAAACATAGGAAAGCACTGATATTCTCCATGCTCGGGGGTACCACAGGCATTAAGTAGGAAGCTGGTATCTAACCCTGTTCAAAGAAGGCCCTGTGTCTCTACAGTGCCCAAGTGGAGTAAGGAATGCAGAAGTTTCCAAGCAGGAAGGTTTCAGCTGAGTTAGCCTAGCTTGGAACAGGGCTGGGACTTGCGCATAAACTTCAAATTTGTTGGCTCAGGGATCCCAGAAGGACTCCTAACTTGGCAAGGCCCCTCCCTGTTACATTAGCATGGATGCTCTGTAACATCCAGATAAGGATTTGCCCTACAAGTCCCACAGATGACGGTTCAGACACTGCTGTTATTTCATGAAGGCTCCCGAGAATTCCCTCTTCAGGGTAGCCCTTCATGAAAGGTGAGACCAGAGAAAACATGGCACCCAACTCCTCTGCTCCAATGCTCAAATGTTCTTCTTGCAGGTGCCTACCAAGTAAACATTAGTGGACGTGGGTTTAGTAATGCGAAAGACATGAGCCAAGTTATTTGCAGATTCACGTTCAATGACTCCAGAATTGTTGGTAAGTATTCCCGTGGCATCCTTGAGGTATACGTTACCATACAGAATCATTTCTCTAAGTCAGCCTTGCCTTCTGTTCTTACTGACCATGTGCAATGGACACTGGAGAGTTAAGGAAGCTTGGACCAATGGAAAAAAGACCAAGTGGCATGCCTAGGTCCATCTGCCTTCATACAAACATAGGGAAAGAATAACCCCCCAGCTCCCAAAGGCATCTGGAGGCTGGCATGACACTGGCCCATCCCTGACTACTGCATCCCACTAGTCTGTCTTCTGCTCCCCTTCCTGAAAGTCAAACACCAGAAGCTGGTGTCTACAGTTAGAACAGAACAGCAGCCTCCAGACTGACCCTGGAAGACGTCTAAGAAGCCTTTTTGGAAAATTATTCATTACAACACACAGAGGGGAAACTAAGGATTGGGAAATTGGAAGCCTAGCCAGTGGGAATACAGCTCAGCCCTTGACTTATGCCCCAGCTCAGTGGAATGTGTGTTAAAGATAAGTGGCTTCTGTCACAATTACAGAACTCTTCTCAGGCTCCCAAAGGAGCAAAAGAAGAATCTCTATTCCCTTATGAGCCTTCTCCAGTTCAGTAAACAGTCCAACTATCCACCCACCTCCTGGGTCTAAGCCTGGTTGCCGTTCTTGGTCCTTTTTTCCTATTCCTGTATCGAGTCTGCCAGCACTTCAACTTGCCTTTATCTTGAGCCTCCACAGTCCCTGGCGGACCCATCTCCCCAGCAGTAAAGTCCAAACTTCTTCCCAGAGCCCACACTTCCAGCAACCTAGTAGTAGGTGCCTTACTATGTGCCTCTCACTTAGCCCGGAGCCCCCAGCCCTAAGATCATTTCCTGACTGCTTCGAGCTCAGACATCAGCAATTCCCACAGAATCAGTGTCAGTGCACATGGTGCACCAAACACATACATACCAAGAATTATTGTCCATGGTCTTGACTCCTATGCTCAGTAACTCACATCCCACCCAGTGCAGCTGCCTGACGGTCTCACCGCTGAATATCTTTAGCTAATCCCAGGCAAGGCATCATTGCACTGTATGCTCATTTTTTAAAATAAGAAATCATATCTCTAAAAGAAGGAACCTATCACCAGTGACTAAGCATCTGTCTTCTCCCCAGTATGCCCCACCCATGTTACAGCACACTGCACTCTGTCTTTTGTGTTGTCCTGTGTGTGGTGTGTCTTGTCTTTTCTCTCTTCCCCGGGGTGCAGGAGCCCTTGGCTATGTGTGCCTGCTGGGTATCAGAATGTGGTTCAGTAGTGGGCAGAGCTGGGACTCAGCGGGTGCCCTTCAACAAAGAGAGGCAGGGGGATCTAGGCAATCATCAAGCAGTGTGAGCCTCAGACAGAGGGTGACAGTGGAGGAAGGACACCCCTATTGATAATCTTGTGTCATTCTCTTTTAGATGAAGGCCCTACTGATATAAATGACAAAAGTATATCCTGTCCCGGACCAAGGATACAGAGTGCTGGCGAGTAAGTGCCCCTTGCTGGAGATCCAGTAGTTTGTTTATCAGAGTAAGTGCCCCTTGCCAGTAGCTTAGTGCAGAGTGCAGGGGTTGGTGTTCACCAGTTTGTGGGGAATCTGGTGTGTACCCTCTGCTGTGAATCACGTATCTGCTTATATATGGGTTCCATTTCCCTTCCATGGGCCCCTGTTAGTGTCCCTGGTAGTATTCAGGAATACACAGTGCTCAGGCACTGCTGAGGGCAGAATGGAGGAGGTGATGGGTCTGAGGGTTCAAACCATTGTCTCAATACCTCCCTGATTCCTTAGCTCATGGCCATTATGGCCATATGACATGAAGTCCTCTTCTGACCCCATCTGTAGCCTTCACCATCCCTGAAGAGGTTGACTTGTTATGCATTGGGGATCAAAGTTCTCTACCTACCTACTCACTATCAGGGAACTCTCCGCTAGCGTGTCAGCCTAGTTCCACTGAGGGTTGATGTGTGTGACCGTTCCAGCAAACCAAGGCTTCCAGGGCTCTTTCCATTATCTAACTCTCTTTTCTGTGCACTAGGGAAGTCTCTCTTCAGGTCAGTCTGAACAATGGCATCTCCTTCATTGGGAACAAACTCATCATAACCGGTACCAACTGTGGGAGTACCAGGGTAAGAGCCCAGGGGTGTTACAGATCCACCTAGAGGTCAAAAGATTAGTCACAAAAGGCCTGGAGGTGCACACAAGTCCCTTAGGTAGTCTGTGGCAGTTTCTCAAAGAGCCACCTGGGACAGGTACAAGGCTTTGCCAGACACTGTCTAAGACATGCAGGGCACACGACAGCACCACATGGATGTGCCCAGAGTTTCTGTCAGCAGCAGTCAAAGATGTGTGCCAGTGAATCAGAGTCCCAGTAGCTAGTGTGGACCCAAACCTACTCGGTCTCACTTGCCAAGTACCTGCTGGCTTGGTGACTCCTGTCATTTACAGGGTCCTCTCTATCCCTGGCTGCCCCTCTGCGGGCTTACTATCACCTGCAGGGCATCCTCTCCCACCGTGGTGGGGGAACTGTCTGGCCTGTGGACCCCAGAGCTCATTCAGGGCCCCTGAGGGGGAAAGAGCTGCTCCTCAAGGGCTGCCTTCCCAACTCCACATCTGTCTTCCAAGCACCTGTGCAGTGTGACTGAGGGGTATGCCCAAGAGAAAGAGCTTTGTGTCCACCTGTGACAACTCCTGAGTTTCTCTCAATATTCAGAGGAAGGAGGGGTGAGCTTCTCAGGCAGAACTGAGAGACACAGAGAGCAGCCAGGGAAGGGAGACCCACATCTCCCGGCCCTACACCTCTTTAGTGGCCCAGCAGCCCAACCCTCTCCTTGAGATCTGATCACCGGTAGCCCAGTGCACTGTCCACCAAGGCCACAGCAAGAACTGGCATCCTCAGACCCTGGGAGATACTGAGTCATCCTTTTCTAGGTTCAAGGCCGGGAAAGGTTGACTGCCCTCTGAGGACCAGCCTGGGCCACTAACTCAGCTATAGCCCCTTGGGTCTAGGCAAGCTGGGTGGAGAGAGTGTATGCACAAATAAGAAACAAGGGGTGGGCACATGGGAAGAAGCCACTGTTGTTATCAATCATAGGGGATTGCAGTAGGCAGCAGCAGCGGCAGCAGCAGCGGCAGCAGCAGCGGCAGCAGCAGCGCCGCCAGCAGCAGCGGCAGCAGGGACAGCAGGAGCAGCAGCAGCAGCGACCCTAAACCCAACCAGCTACCGGAAGAAGACCCAGACTCAGAGGACACTACACAAGGCAAAGTCACCACTGCTCCCAACAAATCACCAGAAAACTACCCTCACTGGAACTGGAAATTTCTTATCTTCTTACCAATCGTGCTGGTGTTCCTCCTGTTGCTGTGCTGCTGTTGGATATGGTGCTGCATAAAGGTTAAGTCCACTGCCCACCCCTCCCCCTTGCCCTGGCTCCCACATACATGCCCCCTCTCCAAGGAACAATGTCATAGTGCAGTATTATAAACCAGCCTGCTGGCAATTTCCCATCTGTCCCAAGGTCCTTCTGTCATCCAGGAGAGACACAGACTCTTAAGTTTAAAGCCCCAAGCCCTAGAGCAGCCTGGGTTCTGAGAACTCTCCAGCCTCGCTGATGCAGAAGTTCCATTTAAGATGCCAGGGCTATGGGCTGAGGCTGGCCCTGGAGAGAGGCCATCCCAGCACCCAATGGGCCTAACCATCTTGTATCAGCTACACATCTACAGGCCTCATGTGGCCAAACCTCAGAGGTGCCCTGTATGTCAGGACAGGATCCCTCATGTAGTCCCAGTAGTCCCATATGCAGGGTGATGCCTATCAGACATGATTAGTTAGGGCAGAACTACCCTTGATACCAACTCCTTTCCCGATCCCGGTATAGCATACAGCCCCATACTGGGCTGCAGAAGTACAAAGAAGCAGCAGAGCCACCGTCCCCCACCAGGGACTGCAGTTACTGTTCAGCTTCAGGGGAAAATGCACCCATCCAGAGACGTAACCAGAGCTTGGTTAAAGCAGAGCCAGATGCAAAGATGGCACTGGCATTCTGGGACAGGGTGTGAGAAGGCAGAAGAGCTGGGGAGCTAGGATGGAAGGAACCCTCCAGAGAGATGAAGGAGAAGGAGGAAGTAGCAGCCCTGGGGGACAGCGTGCAAGAAGAGCTGCCAAGGCCCACCTCCTCTCAAGGGCACAACGAACAGAGAAATCTGGGCACTAAACTAGAGAGCGAGGAGGCTGCGGGATGAAAAAGGGAGGATGAAGGACAGTGAGCTTCTGCCAAGGGGAAGTGTGAGCTCCACTATAGTTGGGATGTGACTGATGAGCAGTGCTCCAGTTGTGGTCCCTCTCCAGGGACCAGAACCTTGATTCGTGTGGCCTCCTCCTCTACCAGAGAGGAAGGAGGTCTACTTTAGGCCAGGTAGAACCCACTGGACACAGCACCACAGGCAGTGGACACCTACATAGGCACCCAGAGGCCTTGTTGTCTCCCTGTTCCAGATCAGGGTCCCCACTGGCTGCAGGGCCAAGGCAAAGCCCACCCTTCCCACTCAAGCCCACACCTGTCTGTTTTACATTCCAGCGAAAGAAAAAGCCGCCGCCGCCAGAATCAGAGAAGGTGAGTTGGGTAGGGGAAGAGGGTGACACTATCACATGACATCATGAAGTCTTCATGAGGCATCATGAAGTCTGAGCCCAGAATCGCTCACTACTTTGGCAGTGAATGGGTGGAATGCAGATTGATGGGAAAGTCACGGGACCCAAAATAATGTCACCCAGACAGACTCCCTGCATTTCACAATCATTAGGGCTTTGGCGACCTGCACCACTGTGTGCAGGTCCATTGATGAACTGGTATCTTTCAGTGGATCCCATAGGGCTCCTTATAGAATGTCAAGGACACAAACGAGTTCTGAGTATAGGAGCTGCATGCGTCAGACCTAGGTCTCCATCTCCGGGCTCAGAGCCTTTGGGCTTCTCTACTCCTTGTCCGTCACCTGCTGAAAGGGCTTCCCTGAGGTCCACCTAGGATGTCCAGAACTGGGGAATACTGAGGATATCCTAACTGACCATGAGCTATGAGAGATGTTCCCAGCTGAGCAGAGGGACCAGATGGGAAAGCAACTGTGTCTTCTTTGAGGGTGGGGACCAGAAGAGGTAACAAAAGGCTGGAGCAAGCAGAACCTGGACCTGGGCCTGGACCGGAGTTGGAGCAGCATTCCTGTCCATGTGGGAGAGTGCTAGCTGCAGAGTTGCCCTGGGAGCTTGCCCCTGTAAAGGCCAGAACCAAGTGGAGGAGAATGCCACCTGGCACTGCCCACCCTCTGCACAGCCTCCAGGCTAGGCTTCTGCCAGCAAGAGTGGCCCCAAGAGAATCAAGAACACAGCAGTGGGCTCTTGGCGTTTGGGGAAGCTCAATATCTACAAACCAGAGGGGCTTTCTTGGCTGTTCTTCTCATGAATGACCTCCCGGGTGTGGGTTACAGTCTTCCATTGGCTCCACAACATTAGTTGACTGACTCCCCAGTGCAGGGGTATGCAAGGCACGGTGTGCCCCTCTCTGTTCAAGAAGCTGCAGGCAAAACACACACCAACCCTTTTCACTTCCAGGATCCAGAAGAGAACCAGTCCCCTCCTCCTATATCACCACCGGCTCCTCCCATCGCTCCTTCATCTCCATCACATGTCAACCCAAGCCCTACTGTGATTGTCGCCTGCTGTGGCTGTGGAGGCAGAGGCATCCAGGTGACTGGGAGATGGGCATGCTGTGACCCTAGGCTCAGCTCAGGGGGGATGGGCACAGCCAATCATCAATAGAGAGATCTGACTGTGGACATGTAACACTTTACGTCTGAGGACACCCGGCTCCCTGTCTTTCTCCCAGGGCTAGAGGGGAGCAGCACACAGAAGGGTCTTCCAAGTGCTTGCATCCCTGTTTTTGCAGGTTCGCTGGACATGGCCACTGTGTCCTGTCTTGCCAGTCTCTGGTTCCCATGTCATTGTCTCTGCCCCAACGATGTCATTGCTGTCCCCTTAGTCTGTGGACGAACGAATCAAGATATATTGGGTATATCTTGCAAAGTCTGATACAGTAAAAACAAAAAAGACCAGTCATGAGTTACCATCTGTCCACCAAGAACTGGCCAAACGCCAGTTGCCCTGGCCAGCCAGGACCAAGGCTCTTCCTACACAAGCAGAAGAGCTGATTGAGTGGTCTTAATGGCCACTGAGGTGGAAAAAGAGAGACAAGATGGAGGTAGAAGACATGGAGTTCTGAAGGGGCATCACAAGCTTCCTATATGGAACTGAGCTCCAGGGCAAACAGCTTTTCATTTGAAGCCACTCCTTCCAAGCCACCTCAAGAAAAGGGGAAGACAGACAGCAGCCCCAAATCCCAATATGGACACCCTACAAGAACAGTGCTAAGGAACAAAGAGCCCCAGTCTCCCTCAGGGCTTTGAAGTCTTCCTCCCTGCCCTGCCTCTATCTGTGGTGGGCCCATTGCTCCCTCCAGAGAGCTTCTAAGTCTTTGGCCATTGCCAAGGACATCTGAGAGCCATGCCAGCCCATTCCCTGCCTGTGAGCTACAGTGAAACCAACACAGGTCTCCTAAGAGGAAAACAGCCACTGCCAGTAGCCTGGCCTCCCTGGCTCATCCCCACCCACTCCATAGGGCCCAAGGACTCTGAGCTGTAGGGCTGAGACCATGACGTTCTCTACAGTTAGGCCCGGGGTTCCTCCAACCTCTCCTTGCTTTACTTGGGACCATGGGGCAGAAGACCCTGATCGAGACCTGGACCTCTTGCCAGCCTGACCTATGTGGCCCAAGTTCTGGCTTTTTCCCCCTTCCCAGGCCTTCTACCCAGACACTTCACAAAGCCCATAGCTCCCCTGGAGGCCTCTGCTTGCCACCACATACCCATCAAGCCTCTGAACTTCTCCAAAGCACCTTTTCTTCCACATTGTCCTAACTTCTATGTCCTCCACTGCCCACTCCAGACACCAAGTCTTTAGACTGGTCCCTCTTAGGGGAGGATGGGATTTGACTTCTTGCACCCATGTTGACAGAGTTCTAGTAAGTGTCTTTGGTGGGGGCCAGCTCCCATGCGCTTCTGCTTACTCATGTCCCGGATGCTTTTCAGGGAAACCTGGGCCCATGCTGCAGCTGCTTTCACCCAGGTTACCACCAGATGCCAATGATGTGGTGTCATCCCAAGGTCCAGGTGAGCCAGACCCAGGAAAACTCCAGGGCACAGAATGGCCATTGGTTTTGTATTTTGAACTTGCAGTGTTCTGGATCCACGGTTTCATGAGAGCCGTGCACTGGAAAGGGTGGGTTTTAGCTGAGATGGTTTACTTCAGGGTTTACTGTGGCGGGAGGGGCCTGAAGTCCCCTACAAGGTACAAAGTTAAGTGAGCGTCAACCAGCACCTGTTGCTCCCTTCGAGGCACAATGTAAGATGTCCACTGCTGTGCCCTCCGCAGGGACAAATAAAGGGAACTGTTTAGGGCAAAGCCTCTTGCAGGACAGTCAGCTTGCAGCACTGGGCTTGTATAAGTAGAAACCAAACACTAATCCAGCTCACTTGGCAAGTTCAGACAGGTGCCTGTATGAAGGTACTCAGGGATGTTCCACCAGGCTGGTCTTCTGCCTGAGCAAGGAAGTACTGTCTAAGAGGGACCCACTTAAGAACATTCTGGAGACCTTAACCCTAGTCTAGCAGCAGGGAGTGGAGGTTGTGGTCAGGGACCCTGCTCACATACCGTCTCCCACACTTGAGTGTCCTGTGCCACCCTTCCCGAAGGCGCCTTCAGGCGCAGCCTCACCTAGACAAAAGCAACAGGAATAAGATCCTGGTGGGACTGAATGTGCCTCTCCTCCCACTCTGTGTCACCCAGTGGGAAGGTGGTCCCTAAGCTCCCGATCCTGGGTGGGAGTGGCGCGCAAGCTTGAGGACTTGAAAGGAGCCTGCTTGTTCCAGTCACCTCATAAGCTTTCGTGCCTCAGCTAATCACAACCCAGGGAATTGTTTACAAGTTTTAGTTTACCGCAAACCTGGGCATTTATGGAGTAGAAGTAAGTGGCTTTTCTGCCTTGAACTTTGACAGCATGAATGTCTGCCCTGTGGCTCTCCACTTCCCGAAGGAATTTGTCTAGTTGGTGCCATCTCCTTTGTAAATACGCACAAAGTGCAGTCGAGTTTGGGAGTCACATCCACTGAGGTCTGGGCTCTCTTCAGTTCATGCTTTATCTCTCTGCCTGTTAAACTAATGGAAATCTGGCTCGGTAGATGTAAAACTGAGAAACCTCCCCCTGCCCTGAACAGAGTATCTACCATAATGATGGGGCATTCCCAACCCCACTCATCTTTCTATGCCTACCCCCTCCACCCAGGAGCTGCTTGGAGCCTGGAAACTCATTCCATTCTCACGACTGCCTCAGAGAAACTGTAACTTCCATATAGATAACCATGGTCTAAGGACTTTCCGCCTCAATTCCAGTGACCTCTCTGTGACCTTCTGTTTTTGTCCTTCCTCCAGGGGAGATGCAACAACTTTACTCTTGTGAATCCTAGCTGCACACAGGCCTCCTGCAGCCCAAAGCTTTGTCTTCCTTCCAATAGAGACTATCTCCATCTCACGAAACCTTCATACTCCCCAAGGATTGTTATTCAACCCAGCAGGGAGTGCTTTCACATCTCCCAGGCACCCTGCAAGCCAAAGATCTGCCTTAAAGCAGGCCAAGAAAGTCTCCCTGTTGCACCAAGCCTGTGCTCAAAAGTGTGCCAACCGAGTCAGAAGTGCTACACTCTCGACTGTTCACAGTCCTCATACCCAAACAAGTGTACCCCATCTCCCTCCAGGATGCTGCCTCTGCTCCCACCCCATGCCCGCCAATCTGTAGAAACCCTTTGTCAAGCCTACCCTTGTCGTCCATCCTCTAAAGAACCATAATTCTAAGTTTAAGAGGTGTTTGTTTCTTATATTGGACACGTGTGTCAGGTCTTAGATTGTAGGGAGAAAGCTACAATTGGCTGCTGACCCTCAGGCTCCGTATCTAGGGAGATGCTTGCCGTCTGAAGTGAGATTGTTGCATGTACCAGGCAATACCCACTTGTCTCACTTCCTATAAGTCTATCTTCATCTGTCTGCAAAAGCTTGGACAAATGGGATCTTCCTCGAAGGTCTCTGTGAAACTGAGAGCTCCTCCCGGTCTTTAAACACTCTTCTGAGTTTTCTTTCCCTCAGTTTTTTTGGCAAAGAGAAGTACTTGGATGATTCAACCTGATTGCATGTTCCTGGTTTCCATTTTCTAGATCCTTGAATTTTGAATGTATCCTAGGAGGAAAGAAAGCCCCTTCTGAAAGCAAGACTTCTCTTTCTAGATAAACCATATACTCCCAACACTCAAGAGAGCCTCCCACCTGCTGCATCAGGCAAACCTCACCTGAGTGTCCTTAGAATCAGGCTTCAATGGGGCTGAGTGTTACAGTGTTCAACCACCCAGCCTGTGACCCATGCCTATGTGATCCAGCAGGGACCAGATACATCAGCATGAGGACCCAATAAGGGGCCCCAGGGTCCTCTGAAGACTCCCCAAGGAGGCCACGACACAGGCTATTCAGTAGTCCCAAATCTCCATCATTGAAGTGTCAGCTTCTACCCTCTCCATTTCCCTGAAGGTTATACTCAGGCATCGTGGTTGGATTTCTCTAATGCAAATCCAGGTGGAAATATGCCACACCTTGGCTTGTAGCTGGTTTTGACTAAGTCGGTGGGTAATGCTGGTTCTACCATCCTCCATGTTTCCACAACGAAAACCATGTTGTGTGAAGGGATTTTTTGGGGCTTTTTCTCTCCATTGCATAGTGTTGACCTCCAAAATCAAGGGATTCCTATTACTACCCCAATTTCCCTGTTTGGTACTGCCCTTGACATCATCACAACTTGGGCTGCCTACTTGAGTCCCATCTTTTACCTGGATGGGACCTGAGCTTCTCCCATCCTTCCAGTCCTCTCTGGCTTCTGTCAATCAAACATCTCTTTTGGGAGAAGAACGGACAAATTGAAACAGAGGTATCTGGTGACAACGAGTGAACTTAGATACCCGTGATTCTCTCCAATTGCCAAAGACCTGTGCTGTGTCAAGACTGTGACAGGCACAGGTGGAGCACAGCAGACTGGGTTGGGCCTAGTGGCCAGGCCTTCTGTCTCTACAGTAGCCCAGGGTTCCGTCACTACCCAGCAGGCCCTGTCTTTAGCAGTCAGAGGTTGTCACTTTTATCAAAGTGGTACAGCTAGACCCTCCAGAGTGCAGATGTGGCCTTGGTTTGTAGGATGCCCTTTCTCAACTCTTGATCCTCATCCTGGAAGCTAAGAGACGTCATAGCAGGGCCTAGGAGTATCTGCCCACCTAACTTTGTGCTTAGTCTGCCTATGTGTCTGAGGCACCACCAGAGAGTCATGGTGTCCTTGCCAGTGTTTTGTGAGGCTGGCTGTTGCCTTCCTCTCCGCAGAGGAAAGGATGCTCTGCTCTGAGCATTTATGAGTGCTTTCCTGAGGTCTCACAGTCTTTCAGTGGAGGGACCAGGGTCAGTGCAAAGAAGCCGCTCCTCAGTGCATCCTGGGGACTTTACCCTTGTAGCTGAGGTAAAGGATTCTTCCTGGCTGCAATGCTCTGAACCTCCTCACTGCTTTGCATGGCCTCTCATCCTGGACTCCCGTTTGGGCTCCTTGAAGCCAGGAGTGTCCCTCACACCCCTAGTAGTGACAGTGCAGTGTCCCTCTGCAAGCACATGGCACAAGCCCGCCTTCACACTCAACAGGAACTCATGTTCCCCAAAGCTATGACTCCATCCCTTTGTCTCTGTACCACGATTGGCCCATAATGTAGACGTCTGGATGGCAGAAGAGAACTCATAAGGTATTTATTAAAAGACCCCCTCTGTCTTCCTCCTTCTCCCATTTTCCTCCCTCTTCCTCCTCCTCCCCTCTTTCTCCCTCTCTCCCCCTTCTCCCCTCCCCATCTCTCTCTCCCTCCCCTTCTGCTTCCTTCCCTCCTTTTTTCCTCCTTCCCTTTAATCCCATAACGTCTTCTTTTTCTACCCTTTCATTCTGTTCTCAACTTCACCTTCCCAGCAGGCAAGTAGTGAGGGGTTTGTCATGTTTCTTGGTCAGGATTCTCCAGAGGAGCAGAAGTAACGGATCAGCACGGGGTATGGAAAGCGGGTAACAACACTATCTCCACTGGCTCATGAGGTTACAGAGAAAGGGAAGTCCTGTGTCTGCCCTGGGGAGGAGAGAGGGAGCATAAAGTCCAGCCAACTTACATTGAGACCTCAATGCATCTATCCTCCTGAAATACCTGCGTGGAAACCCCTACCCTCCCAGTATGATGTGAGGCCATAGAGGGTGACTAAGTCACGAGAGCAGAGTCCCCTCAATGGGATCCATCTGTCCTATGAGAACACAGCCAGTGTCCCCACAAAGAGCTCCAGGACTGACTGGCCAGGCACTAGTCTCCTCAGCCTTCGACTCCACCCTCCTGAGCGGTGAGCAGTAAATGCCTATCGAAGCCACACAGTTTATGGTAGTTTATCACAGCTTCCAGAATGGGCTTGGGGGACCTTCCTCCATCTTTCAGGACGGAAACTTCTAAAAGGTGACAGAGTCTCTGAATAGTGAGGTGGTACAGAGAGTGTAGGGGGGCAGAAGTCAAGGGTCACAGAGAGGTCATCTTCATTGTAACAATACCATAGGGTGACTAAGTAGGGACCAGGCCCAGAGACCTAGCCCCACCTGTCCCGTCTGACTGAAGCTGAAGTGAAATATCCATGAAGGTTGGTGACATGAGGGCGGCCATGATAGCTGGTTGGTGCCTTCTGGTCATAAGACTTTTGTCCAACACCAGAGGAAGAGGGTCCCCAAATGAAATGTATCTCCAATTATAAAGAACTCTATCTCTTTCTTGAGTCTCTTAGATAAAACAGAAAGCTTGCTAAAATGCCACAGGGAACTTCAGAATGCGCCCCCAAATATCAAGTGTATATCTCCTTTGTCAGCTGAATGCCCTTGGGAATAGGGGTTGGCTTTAAGGACGTGGCTACAGACTGAGCAGGTGTCTCCAAAGTGATCTTCAAGGTTTTGAGGAACCTGGCCCACAGTCTCCCCATGTGTGAGCCTGCTGCTCCACATACTTTATTCCTGCTCCCCCACCCACCTTTCTCGAGATCCCCAGGAAGCAGAGAGCTGTGTGGGCAGAGAAGAGTCCATCAACCTGTACCCACCCAACGAGGGCCTCTCCTGCCAGAGAGAGCCCCACCCTGGCCTGCTGCCTCCATCCTACAAACTGGCCTACATGGACAACGCACAGCCCAGGCAGTAGGGAGAGCCTGAGAGTCCCACCAACTGTGCTCAAGAATCAGGGGCTGTGTATGAACTCATCTTGCAGATGCTGTAGCAGAAGGAGCAAGACCAGCACAAGTTCCAACCAGACAGGATCCAGTACTGGAAGGGGGAACGGACACAGACTCCCGCCTCTGACTAAGATGATATCTGTAACTGATACCCACCGGCAAAGGGAAAAACGTTTTTCTCCAATGGGGTGTCACTATGTGAATTAACACACTTTGGGGTAGGCCACGCTCCCAGGAGTTACTGGGCAAACGCAAACATGCTCAAACATGTACCTGGTATGCGTATGGTATCATTTTGTTTCGTTTGGCATAGTTTTCATCGTATCGGTCTTTTGCTTGTTTATTTTTATTTCTGTTTGTGTGTGTGTGTGTTTCTTGGGTTTTTGTTTGTTTGAGGAAAGATGGAAAAAGAAACCTGAGGTTGAGTGGATAAGGGAATGAGGAGGATCTGGTAAGAACTGAGGAGGAGAAAACACAGTAAAAATACATTGTGTGAATACCTTCAGTTATGAAAAAAAAAAGAAACGTGGGTGTGTGGTGTCAACAGCATCGTTGCTGCATTGGTTTTTCTGAGGTGCCTTGACGGAGCACCTCAGACCAGGACCAAGACAGAGATCTTTCTCTGGAGGCCGGATAGCTCAGCTCAAGCCGTACCCACCGGCTTCCTGTCCCATGTCAAACATATGTCCTCATGGTGACTTGGGGCCCAACTGCTCAGGCCAGGCTGCAAGGTTGTGGAGGAAGGCACATCATCCCTTGGACAGATGAGGGAGAGGTGACCCCGGGACTCACCATCCCTGTGACAGTTTGGGGAGGTCAAGGACACCAAGGCTAGAAGGCCAAGGTTCAGCTCCGGATCCTGGAATTAACTCAGGAGTCTCAAACTCAGAGGCGTAATTCCTGTGACAAAAATTCCTGCCGCTTTTTACCCTGTTCACTGTGGTCTGAAGGTCTCAGGAAAGGGAACCCAGAGAGCCATGGCCTGGTGGGACTCTCCAGGCAAGGAGGAGTCCAGGGCTTAGTTAAGAGGCGGACTCAGGCTACATTTGTGGCAGCTGTGTCCTGAAGATAGAGGGGACTGAGAATAAACACACTTCTGCCTGGGCAACCTCACATATTCATTCTGTGCCCAGAAGTCCCCGGCCTCATTCTGAGATCTGGGGAATGGAGAGGGAGCCGGTGTTAATGCTGTAACTCCAGAAGGTGGCGCTCAGAGCTTACGTTTGCCCACTAAACCGCTCTCCAAATTCCACAAAACAACTACAAGACAGACTTTTGTTCCATCTTTTAGCTGGCTTTGTACTACATTTCTTTTCCTTTTTTTTTTTTGGATTTTCGAGACAGGGTTTCTCTATAGCTTTGGTGCCTGTCCTGGAACTAGCTCTGTAGACCAGGCTGGCCTCGAACTCACAGAGATCTGCCTGCCCCTGTCTCCCAAGTGCTGGGATTAAAGGTGTGTGCCACCATTGTTGGAACCACTTTCCCCTTTCTAGAGATATTTCTTTAAAGAGAGAGTCTGGAGGTGCGAGGAGCCGCACACGGGGCATCGCCAAAGCCACATATTTCCAAACACGCATTTCCAGCTCTGAGCAGAACCACAACTAGGGCCCATCGGCCCTGAGCCCGTCAATCAGTTCCACCCTCTCTATGGGGCTGATAAATTGGAGGTCTGTACCCTACGCAAGTGTCCATCAAAGAGCCCTGCGCCTCCCAACATCTTCCATCTCTTTCTGTTCTGAGAAACTTGGGCATTTGGCTCAAACACCTTGCATCCCGATGCCAAGTGGCATTCAGAGCACCTCAACACCTGTGATAGACAACCCATCCGATGTGGTGGTCTGGAACCATTCCATATGTTATCATCCTCCCCTACCCTCAGCCGGTTCTTGAACCTGGCCCTCTGCTAAACACACAGCTCAGATATGCTCTTATCAGCTCCATGGAACCTTCCATGTGTACATTCTTTAGATACATACTCCCATCCCATAATTGAAGTTTATTTTAGCCCTCAACCACACCTGCATTTTCTCTCCAGTGCCACCCCTGAGTCAAGCTCATGGCCCACTCTTACTACAACATGCTACGTACGTGTCTCTGATTCCCCCTCCCCCAACTTCCCCTTCCTCATCTCCTTTTAAAACAGTCTCATTCTATAGCCTAGGCTGACCTGTAACCCACTACATAGGCCAGGCTACCTCAATCCATGATAACCCTCATGTTTGTGCTTTCTCAGAGTTGAGTTTACAGGTCTGAGCCACCACACCTGTCTCTGACTTTTCTCTCTGTGTCCTGTTCAGGTTAGCACTCTGAATCCTGGTGGACGGAGACACCTGTTTGCCCTCTCTGTGCCTGTCCTGGGCTACCGAGGGCTACTAGCGGAAAACAAACACCAGACATGTTTGTCTACCAACTCCTTGCATAGGCTCATGTTCACCAACTTAGCCAAAGCCTCCATGCTGAGCACAACTCACCAATGCAACATTTAGCTAGAAGGAAGAGATAAGAAAATTTGTAAGGAATGTCATAATGAAAAAAAAAACAAAGCCAAATTATTGAACAAATGTTTAAAGGAATAAGGACAAGCTACGTGTGGTGGCGCACACCTTTAACCCTAGCACTCAGGAAGCAGAGGCAGGCAGATCTCTGTGAGTTCCAGGCCGTCCTTGTCTGCATAGTGAGTTCCAGGACAGGGCTATGTAGAGAGACCCTGTCTCAAAAAATAAAAATATAAAAGGACAGGGCTTCTGCCTAAAGGGTTAAAATGCTTCTTGTGAGACATTAGAGTTGGAATCTGCACCTTACAAGCTGAAGTTAGGAGGGATAATGCTATCCCAATCCCAACTTCCTAAAACAGAACCAAAACCTCATCCCCTGCCCAGATTTAGCTCCTGCTGTGGACTTCGCAGGAGATCAGTGCTCCAAGTCTGCAGAGAGAAATGAACATTACAGCCCATCACTGCTGATAGAGTTTAATGGGTTTCAGAAAACTCCCCCTGGAGACACCTTGCACACCCAGCGTACTAGGGCTTCCTGGGAAAATCTTCCTGCAGAAGCGGGTCAAGGAGCAGGGGAGTCCTCTGCATCCAAACAAGGAGAGTCAAGAAACAAAATACAAGAAACCAAGAGGTTAAAATCTAGTGCCAGCCATATGTTAGTTTCATGTTCAGAGCTTTTCCTGCCTATAGCTATGCATGCGGATTATAGAATTGCCAGTTCCAATGAACAGATTTTAAAATGTTTTAAAAAGTGATGAGATGAGAAGCCATGAAAAGAGCGAACAGAAAAGCCTGGAAAAGGGCAGGTTTTGCAAAGAATAAAAAGCAACGTTTTGAAAGCAAATTCACTTAGAAACTTAACACGGCTAGATGGAGCCGAAAAAGGTTTGATTGCCATGGTGCAGCCCTGGAAACTGGAGGAACTGCAGCCTCTGAGGAGCAGATGAGAGACTTGGGGGTGTGGCAGCTCTCCACTCTCAGTGGTCAAAGGTGACAGGGAGATGCCCGAGCAGAACACACAAACCCACAAGCTGGGTGTGCTGCTTTGCTGAGCAAACAGTGGAAAACTCCATAAAGGGGCCTGCTATGATGAGGGAACGCAGGCGGTTCAGATCCCAGAATACCTGGGATGGGCGGATGCTAAAAGACAAACTGAGCAGAGGTGGAAATCTGCCTTGTTCACGCAGCAAATGCCATTGCTGGGCTTCTTTCTATATGGGTCTATGTTCTAGGACCACCACGTAGGTGTTTCCTCAGATCTGATAGGCTGGATCACTCATCTCTAACCAACACCAGGGCTGGGCAGCTTCGCTTAGACCACATGACTATTAAAACCTCTGCTATTTAACCCTCTTTGGCCTGATCTTCCTTATCTCATTTAAATCACAGTCATACTGATTTTGGCAGGCCATCTAAGCACCTTGAGCCAGGCCCTCACAGAAGAACACATTGTATCGTGCACTTCCCACCAGTCGGGTGGGACCCGAGAGTACAGCTGGGTGGAACCCTTACTGTACCTTAACTCTGTGTTCTCAGGGTCTGGGATATCCTTGCTCTGTCTGTGAGCCTCAGCCGGTCCCAAACCCCACCTGCTGTTTCCTCGGCCACGGCTCATTTTTGATGGCATCAGGCCACGCCCTTCCAAACTACAAGCTCGTGCATGCCTCTCCCTCCTCTGCTGGACGTTTCTGTGGTGACAATGAGCTCTGAGGCACAAGCCGCATCTCTACGCCCACACATGCTCTGACCCCCTGTACGCATGCTCCATCCGTACACAAGCTCTATGCTCAGGCCTCCTTTGACCCCTTCCAAATAGCTAGCCCCGATGACACTGATGACCCAGTGGAAAATCTTTTTTTTTTTTCTGAACTGCCTTTCCCAGCACTTCAGGCCCCAGGCTAAACAGACTTCCTGCCCTGCGCTCAAGCTAAATCCTATGCTTTCCTCTAAGTCAGCGGTTCTCGAGATCCCTTTGGCAAACCTCTATCTCCAGAAATATTTACATTATGATTCACAACAGCAGCAAAGTTATAGTTATGATGTAGCAACACAAATAATTTTATGGTGAAGGGTCCCAACAGTATGAAGAACTGTACTAAAGGGTCACAGCATTAGGAAGACTGAGAACCACGGCTCTATGCTTTCACCCCTAATGTTCAGGCTACTTATGCTCCTTCCGGGGCTAGAGGTGTACAAGCCGGTACCATGTAGTCAGTTCAGTGTCTAGAATGCAACCAAAAACTGCACTCTGAACTTTGAGACATGGATGGCACACAGAGTAGGAGCTGGGAGCCCGCAGCACTCAGTGGGATTAGGTCTGGGTGCTGAGCACCCCCAGATCCCCGGCAAGTTCCTGCCATTGTTTTCCTGTGTGGTCCTCCCAGAGGGAGGAGATAGAGGGAACAGTGAATTCCTCTGTGAGGACCCTTTCTAGTGCCCTTAATCTCTTAGGTACTGTATGACTCTGATACTAAGTGAGGGAAGAATGTGGGTCCACGTTGGGTAGATAAGGGGGTGCTGTATCACTCCAGAGGCACACGGTGACGTGAAGTTTAATAGGTGATGCATGGATGGGATGGTTGAGCCCAGATGTCCCTAAAGAGGCTGGCATTTAATCCAAGGACACTCTACCCATCTCAGTCACCTGTCCTGTCAGACTTTGGCCAGACCCTCTGGTTCAACAAACTCACATGAATGTACCTGGATAGAAGCATCTCAATGCACACAAGCATGAGTACTCCAATATACACCAACCCTAAAAATTCAGGGGAGTCTAAGCTTCCAAGGCCTGGAATGGATCCTCCATCACCCTGTGGTGCAGAGGCAGCTGGGGCCTTCTTCCGTTGGAGGCATTTCACAGCACAGTTGCTCAGTGGCTCTCCGGTTTTCCTGGTAGCTGCCTTCTCAGGGCATAGCTGCCCCCCTCCCCTTTGTTTGCCAGCCCGGGTCTACCCTTACCCACCACAGCCCATGCTGCAAGAAGGAGCAGACTGAAGACTCTGTGTGTAGAGTAAAGAGCACTGGAGTCGGGGTGGGGACCTTGATCGCTTCATGGGTCATTCTTAAAAGGCCACTCCGCAAGATTTTCTTAGATTTGAAGAATCACTACGGAACTGTTTTTGTGACAGCTGAGATCTCTATAGGAGCCTCCCTGGAACTAGGTGGTGCTCCCAGAGGCAGTGACTTCACGCAGACAGGTAGGTAGGAGTTAGCTAAGTTAAGGGGTGGGGTAGGGACAGCTGTGATGAGGAACATTCTAAGAAGAGTAGACAAATCCCCCAGATGAGTATTTTGTTGGGAATAGCCCTTCTCCTTGGCAACTAGCATATCCTAGGCCCCCAGTGGGAGGCAGCAGCCTCCTAGTCTAGGAGAGCTGACAGATGGTGACTCCGCTCTCAAAGGACCTGTCATTTGATCAAATTATCCAGGCGCTTGAGATGTTCCCCCTCTAGCACTTGGAACTTGTACCTGCTTCCTAGGACTGTGACAATGTTTTGAGGGGACAGCACTACTGGGGGGTTGGAGAGGGATTTAGACACAGTGCACCCCAGTGAATGGGGGGGTGACTGTCTTTTTGCCCTTTGCTGAGTTCATTGCAGTTAATTATGTTGAGATGGCAACAAACCAAAGGGCTGCGTGTGGGCTTCTGTTCTTCTGTGACTGAGATCTGCCCAACCTAGAAGAAGTAGCAGCTTTTTTTGTTTGTTTGTTTACCAAGTTGCCTTTCAAAGGCTACCTCAGAGTTTCCAAGCTGTGTGGAGGCCACAGCCCAAACATTTGCAGCAAATGATGTGATCCTCAGGGCAGGCCTGGGCAGTGCCTGGGTGGGGCCTGGGAGCCACAGGAGGGGCCCAGAGCCAAACCAAGCCTGAGGTGGCAAGGAGGGAGTGCTGGGTGGGGCCTGGGCCTGTGTACACAACCACACCTACTAGCCGGGGAGTAGCTGTGTCCAGTCACTGAGTAGAGCCCAACTAGTGAATCTTCATCTCCCTGGGAAAAGTGGCAGTGAGGCGAACAGGATGGCCTGGTGGAAAGCCTGGGTGAGTAGGAATAAGATGGGGAGGTGGGTCCTTGTTCTGTGTTGGGTGATGAGCACTGGTGAGGAAGCTGGACAAAAAAATGCCCATGCTTAGAAAAGTTACTACAGGGATGTGAAAAGTAAGACAGTTTAAATAAAATGAAACAAAATGTTTTTTTAAAATCTTGAAATGCAAGAGGGAGCTGACGGATAAGAGAGTCTAGAGGGAGGCTTCTGAGGACAAAGGCCACTTAAGAAAGGGCTTCTGTGGATATGTGCAGGGTGTGCATTTGTTCATGGAGAGACTCCGGGGGGGGGGGGGTTGTGCACCTTGCAGAGGTAGCGGTATGTGAAGCTCTGGAGAAAAATTGCCCTGTGTGGTTTGAATGTCCTGGGTAGGTCGGATCTAGATCTGGAGAAGTAGCCAGGATGGAGCATCAAGGGCCTTGAATAACATGCTAAGGTGCTGGAACTCAACTTTTGAACAATAGGGAGCTGCTGGTATACTTTAAGCTAGAGAATGCTCTGGGCAAACACATTGGATCTCAGCAATGAGCAGTTCCTAACAGTGGGTGCTGGCCCTGGTGGCCTGATGCTTAGGGCAGGTCTAGGGGTCAACCTCCTGGGGACCTGTTCAGAATGATGATAAAGCTGGCACTCTCAGAACCTTCTGCATGGGGACCCTCCTCCAGGCACCTCTCATTCAGGGCCCTTAGAGCCTCACAGCAAGTCTGTAAGGCTGGTACCGACGGCTTCAAACACAAGGGAGGAAACTGAGCCTCAGGTGCACTAGACAGGCGCTGAAGTAGCCACACTAGTAAGTGTTTAGGTCTGTGCAGCCTGAGTCCAGACTCAGACTCAGTCATCCAGGGATGTTGACCCTTGGGAGAGCCGACTGAGAACAACAAGGCCTCTGTGTCTGGCCGGGCAGCCAGTGAGAACCAAATGTCCTCTGAACACGAATCTGGACCAGAGCAGGACTGAAGGGAGTGGAAGAGTGGCCAGAGGAGCCCGTCTTCAGAACAGGTTCCCCTTGGGTTCCCCTTGAAGAGGCAGCCCGTGATAGATCAGGCAAAAGTCTGGTAGCTCCCACATGCCCATGACAGAATGTGTTCCAGACACAGCATCCAGGACTGCCTGAATTACCTTTTGTCTGGTAACTTATCTGTCTGAACCCACCGGCCTCAGAGTAGCCCCATCGGGAGCCTGAGACCGACCTACAGGGGCTGGGATAGATGCCTCCAGATCTCCACTCCAGGCAGGAGCCACCTGATCTTTGGTCCCCAGAACACTGCCCTCTATCAAAAAAACAAAACTTCTCAATGTGGTGATACCCCAGCCAGCCCTGAAGCTGCTGACAAATGCTGGTCCCTGAATTACCGGTATGGAGACACCCCTCAATCAATAGGTCTCTGAGAGCAGGGAGCAAAACTAAGAAGTGAGAACTTAGAGGCTCCCCACCCCCACACTCCCAGAAGACTGGCGTGCCTTTGGGTGAGGCTCTCTCCAGTGAAACACTCCAAGAAAACCAGTGTCTGGGGAAGAGTGAATCATCTGTAGAGTGGGGGAGGCAGACAGAGCTCAGATTCTGAGTCAGGCTGTGGGTGAAATGCCAGCAGTGCCATTTACTAGCTATGCGACCAAGCCCAGCCTCCTGGAGCATTAACACCTAATATGACTCCGGGGGGAGAGGGGCTGAGCATCCTATCCAGTGCACTCTGCAGAGGGGACACTCACCTGGCTTCTAGTAGCAGCACGTGACCTCACAGCAAGAACTTTGCATTTGTAGACAGTGGGGGCAGCATCTGAAAGACCACCCAGGGCCTGGCTCACCCCAGGAATTACTTCTAACAGTTCCTGTTATAAAACATGATCCAGTAGATGGGACATAAAGATCTATTTCTGGGCCTGTGAAAAATCAAGCAAAGGACACAGAAAGATGTCTTGCTTCTTACTCAAAAGAAGAACTCTTAAGTATATATCATCCGTGGGGACCTGTTCTGCATTTTCAGGATCTAACGTGAAGCTTGGGTGGAAGGTTGGGTAAATGAATCAATGCAGGGAATAAAGGGAAGATAGGTGGAGGATGCTTGAAAGGAAACAAAAAAGGGAAAGAAAATGGGAAGAGGAAGAAAAGGAGAGGGGAGTGGAAAGAAAGAGGAAGGAAGTGCAGAGGAAGAAGAAGGGAGGGCAGATGGCGTAAGGGTTGTCTAGCTGGGGTAGAGAATTAGTGAACAGCTGGGAGGATGCGTGAGTAGAAACACAGATGGGTGGGTGGGGACAATGAGCCAAACAGCGAATGACCAGAACGCATTTGACTAAACTTCTCTCCATCTGAAGGACGTGAGTCTCCCTCATTCAATTCCTTCCATTCTTTCTGCTCCTTCCCCTCAAACACACACTTTAGAAGAGTCATCCATAATAAGCCTCTGATTAGTTATGCAGAACACACAGAGAAGTGGCCCTAGTACACGCCCTGGATTGGAGGTTTGAAAGACAAGGCTCTGCATACTTTGGTTTTCAAGTCTATGCCACAAGCTAAGAACATCCTGCAGTTCTTTCTGAACACAACGCTCTGCCCCATATGATGCTGTGGCCTTGAAAAGGAGCTGAGCCTGGGAGAGATGCTCAGCTTGGTTCCTGGCCTTCTGAAATCTCCACACCATCCAAGACAGGCTTAGACCCTTCTCTGCAAAGCGAGACCTGTGTCCAGCTCCCCATTCCCTAGGCAGCCTTTTAGAAGTCATTCCTTATGAATTCATTTCCTCCCATCCTCATGTATACGGGACTCGAAAGAAGTATGCGTGACCAGTCTGCTACTTTCTCTCAGTCAACAGGTGCTTTTTGCTTTGTTTTGGATTTATAGGTGTGTGTGTGTGTGTAGATAGATAGATAGATAGATAGATAGATAGATAGATAGATAGATACATACATAGATACATAGATAGATACATAGATAGATACATAGATAGATACATAGATAGATACATAGATAGATAACTTATTTTTATTTTGTGTTCATTGGTGCTTTGCTTTGTACATGTCTGTATGAGGATATCAGAAACCCTGAAACTGGACTTATAGACAGTTTCAGGGCTGCCATGTGGGTGCTGGGAATTGAATCAGGGTTCTCTGGAAGAACAGCCAATGCTCTTAACCCCTGAGTCACCTCTGCAGCCCCAAGGTGGTTTCTTTTTACACGCTCTGGTCTCAGCCACACCCACCTGTTAGCTAAGGGGCCGGAGAGGTCAGTCGCTCCATTGGTCTCAATGCCCAGGGGAGATCCTTAGCCTAACGGGGTACACGACCAGGCCCCCATGCCATTCCTTTACTTCTCATGATGTACATCCCTGGCTGTCTTGCAGATTGAACAGGAGGGTGTCACTGTGAAGGGCAGTTCTCACTTCAACCCAGACCCTGATGCAGAGACCCTCTACAAAGCCATGAAGGGGATTGGTGAGTACCAACCACGGTCTGGTAACTGAGGCCCCACATGCTCACATCCCCAGGAAGGAGATACCAGGGAGAGTCAGGCATCAAAGCTGTACCCATTTAATTCTGAGTGACTACATTTCCTAGGGAATCACACCAGCTGAGGTGGGTGACTGTTCGTTCCCAAGGGACAATGACAGAGGAGACTGTCAGTCTGAGATTTCTCACTAGGAAAATGGCTGCAAGAACTCTGGGCCCACTGTGTCACTGTGGACTCAGAAGATGGATTGACATAGGGCCTGCTTTAGGCATGGGGATGGAAGTTTAGATGCTGCACCAGGGGTACCAGCCATGTGGATTCTGCAGCTTGTCTCCTGCCCCATGTTGGCTGACCAGATGGCCACCTGCTTCTGCCCCATGTTGACTGACCAGATGGTCAACTGCTTCTGGTACCACCCTCGCATGACTGAGTGGGAAAGGACTGGCTTAAGATAGGACTTGGTCTCCCTCCAGATGGGAGTCACCCATTGGCTGGTTCCACCTAGTGAGCTGGTGCACTAAAGAGAACACTCATTCCCAGAGGTGTCTATACTGAATTCTCCTACATATTGCTACCTATAAGATCTTTATTGTTGGCTCTGCTCCCCACCTGAGCAAGTGGAGGCTTCAGGAGATGAGCCTACTTGTCCATGATCTACAGGACAGGCTCTCAGACACAGTGGTCTGGACCTTCCTCTAATGTGACCACCAAAAGGAAAGAGATTAAGAATATCTCACTTGGCCACACTTCAAAAGTCCAAGCCCATAGTCCTTGGGTTCTATACTATAATGTCAAGCCCGAGCCACACCCCAACACTGTGTAACTTAGAGGTGGAGAACAAAGAAATGAGATAGCTGGCTGTCTTGTTTACACCATGGAAATTGAGCATTTGTGGCATTCAGATAGTATAGCCCAGTTGCCCAGCCAGCAAGCATTTTCCCTCTCCCCTCCCCAGTCGTCTCTGATGCCCCCAGAGGTAGAGGGGATTCTCATACTGTACACCCCTGCAGGAACCAATGAGCAGGCCATCATAGACGTGCTCACCAAGAGAAGCAATGTGCAGAGGCAGCAGATTGCCAAGTCCTTCAAGGCTCAATTTGGCAAGGTAAGCAGGGTGCATACTGAAGACCAGGCATCTCCTCCAGAGATGGGCACATATTCATAGGAGACAATGCAGTAAAATGATCCTTCCATCCATCTGTAGTCATTTCTCTGGCCATTCTGTTGTGTCTGGTAGACTCATTTATAACTCCAGTCACAGTCTGGCATTGGTCTTGCATGGTGGAGCCCCACTTCTTCCCCATTCTCTCTCGCTGCAGTCCTCAGTTGTCCCTCAGGATCCAGCCTCAGCTCTCTTCAGCTTTGTCCCCCACTACCTGAATGTCTTCCATGTTCCCTGGCAGTATATGCCTGGCCCTCCTCCCCTCCACAGCACAGACATGCTTCCCATGATCACTCGCGTGTCCCTCATCTCTCCTGCCACCGGGGATCTAGCAGCTCTTAGCACAGAGCCAGGAATTTGAAGGTACACATTGAATACCACAGGTCTGTGTCTAGACATGGGTCCTGGAGAACCTCCCTCTGCTCACAGATTTAACACAAAAACACCAGTGATGAGGTGCAAGCCTCCCCAGGGGAAACTACATATTTGCAACTCCTTCTCCTTACTGTTTCAAGCTTGTCCTCTGTGTTCAACATCAGAGAGGCAGAGTAACTTTCAAAGTTACTTCCAGAGCCTGTAAGTGACAGTGGAAAGGATCAGGGGTGTGGTGCCTTGTGGCTTCTTGTAGACACATGTGCCCTTAGAAAGAGACAGGCGTGAGATGGAATCTTGGAATCTTCTCTCCCTTCCTCCCTCTTTCTCTCACTGTTTTTTTCCTTCCCTCATTGAATCATTTAATTTTGTTAAGCATGGTGTTGCCACACCCAGGTCGTGCGATGGCAATTCTATTTTCTGGAGTTTAGAATGTGCCCGAATTTGATTGTTCCCAGAGCTGTCACACATGCCCGTCACCCCATAAGCAATGGTATGAAGCACAAATTCCGTTGTCTATATTTTACAGGCACTAATCAATGGTATGAAGAACAAGTTCTGTTGTCCCTATTCAACAGGCACAGATGCTGTTGCTTAGAGAAGCTCAGGACCTGGCCCAGGAGATCACACCAGCATGACAACTCTGTCATGTGGAGAGGAAGAGTCTCCAGGCCAGGTCCCACCTGCTCTCTGACTCCAGTGGGCTTGGAGGACACATCATCTCACCTTCCCTTTTGCTTGCCCTAGGACCTCACTGAGACCTTAAAGTCAGAGCTGAGTGGCAAATTTGAGAGACTCATCGTGGCCCTCATGTACCCGCCATACAGATACGAGGCCAAGGAACTGCATGACGCCATGAAGGTACTCCACTTTGCCATACGTTAGAATGGCCGCCTGGTCCCCAACTTAATTAATGAGCTTGCAGCCTGCTCAAACAGTCACCCCACAGTGCGGCTGGCCAGTCATAGTGAAGACCCAATCCGTACTTCTTAGAATAGGGACCAGAAGGAATGCAAGGGACTCAGAAACCCATCTCTACGGTCCAAGCACCGACCTTTGGCCATCTTTCTCTCCTCACCATTCCTATTACTCTCATAGATGAGGTGGCGTTGGAGACCCAGAAACCACAATCCTTCCCACTGGAAGGATACCTTTGTGATCTATGCCAGGCATTTCAGCTGTGTTCTCTAATCCCATCTTCAGGGTAGGGTTGGCTCATTCTCCTCATTGACAGATGAGTGTACATAAAGATGGTCAGGTAGAGCCACCTGTGTGAGACCACCCAGCTAAAGAAGGAGAGCCGAGATAATTTGCCCCAATAGCTGTCACAAGAAACAAAGGTGGGGATTCAATACCACCCCTCTAACAGAGGCCCCAGCAGAGGAGGGCAGAGAGGTGGCCATGGCTTCTGAGAAGACAGTGCAGGCATAGCAGGAGACCAGGGGCAGAACACTCCAGAACATAGAGGCTTATCTCCCCAGGGCTTAGGAACTAAAGAAGGGGTCATCATTGAGATTCTGGCTTCTCGGACCAAGAACCAGCTGAAAGAGATAATGAAGGCCTATGAGGAAGGTAAGGGGGTGGCCAAGATGGTGGGGTGGAAACCTGGGAATGGCTGAAGTGTTAGCAGCCTGAGAGGGAATGAGAGTTGGGAAGCTCCCAAGGGAGCTATGCCAAATTGGAAAGGACCCTTTCGAGGTCTTTTCATACCTGTCCCAGTACCTATATCCTGTGCCCAACTGTGGTTGAGCATGGGGAGAGAGATGTGTGCCAACTAAACTCATGTCCCTTAATGCTGTGACAGACAGTACTTGGGAACAGAGGCAGCAGTGGATGGGAGAATGCTTACCGGATGCCCATGGGCTAAGCCAGAACAGTGGAGAGGGCCATCTGCTAGGGCCACACTGTGTTAGGGGAGCCCCACTGGCCAGCTCTCCCATATAGTACATAGTTTGCCAAACTAGCAAAGGCCAGCCAGCCCTCCATGTTTACAACCAGCCAGGGTAGCCTGAAGGATCTGGGTTCACTGAACTTGGCAACAGAATGGCCTCCATCTTGCAGGTCTTGGTCTGGTTCTCTGGCCTGGTCTGTGTCTCCCTTTATCTTGGTTGCTCATTTATGTCACTTTGGGTTTGGATGATTACCTAGACCGGTCTCCATCTCTAGGACATCTGTTATACGTACACCTTCTATGCCAAGAACTTGTCCTCCCAGGCCCATGGGAAGAAGAGGCAGGAAGTAGGTATAAAGGAGGAAGTACGTTGCAGGCCCTGGGTCACTCACTGTCCATGCCTTCTGGTTCTCTTCTCCTGCAGACTACGGGACTAACCTGGAAGAAGACATCCAAGCAGACACAAGTGGCTATCTGGAGCGGATTCTAGTGTGCCTCCTTCAGGTATCACAACCAGGCTCCAGGAATCTGTGGCTGGCTTAGGCCCTAGCAGCAACTCTTGAGCAATGCCTTTGAGTGGCATCTGGGATATGGGGAACCTGAGTGGTCTGAGGACAGTACCTATGCCTCAGCATGATAAAGGGGTCCTAACTGCAGAGCCCTCTTCCCTCAACCTTTGTGTGGCTCCGTGCCAGGCTCTGCCTAGCTTAGCTCCCTGAATCCACCATTGCAATCTGCTCATATTAGACAAACGCCAAAAATGAGACTTGGTGAGGACAGCTGGCCTGCAGGTCTCATGGTCTCTAGAAGCAGCAGCCCTTACCTACCTGCCCTCTGAGCCCCACAGTCCCCTCGGCCATGGGTTCTGATTGCTGACCTGCCTTACAGAGCCATTTCCTCTGATCCTAGGGCAGCAGAGACGACGTGAGCGGCTTTGTGGACCCAGGACTGGCCCTCCAAGATGCACAGGTGATACTGTGCCCTGGTCTTAGCAGCTGAACTCTGAGTTTCGTGATCTCCTTTGCCAAGGGGAGCCTTCTTTAGTATAGACCCCACCTTACAGCCTCCACCTTGTGGTGACAAAGGAGGAAAGAAAGGTCTCTGGAAAGCTCCAGAAGAAGAAAAAGCTGGAGAACCTGGGGAAGGAAAGTACTAAGGCTCTCCTGGCAGAGACAGCCTCTCTCAGAGCCCAGAGCTCATTCATACACAGATCTCTGTTTATCTGTCTCTTGTTGTTCAGTGTTCCCAGAGCAACAGGGAAGGAGCATTTCCTAAAGTAGCTTCTGGCCCCAGATAGAGAAGACCCTTGAGCCAATGTTGTTGGTGGAACAGGAGCCCAGGACAGTGAGCCATCATACTGGACTGTCCAAGTGAAATGGTGGCTGACTTCAGATCTGGGGCCCCGGAGTCCTCTCTCACCTCCTTGTTTCCCAACCCTAGGATCTGTATGCAGCGGGTGAGAAGATTCACGGAACTGATGAGATGAAATTCATCACCATTCTGTGTACACGCAGTGCCACTCACCTGATGCGAGGTACGGGGCAGAGGGGGGAAACACGGGGTGCATGGTCAGGGTCCATCCTCGATGGGTTCTCACATTTCGGGGTAAGGGCATGTGGATTAGAAAAATTAGGTTGGAGGAACAAAGACATGAAAGACACACAGAGATAAGGGATAGCACCAGGAGGGCAACTCAGAAAATACTAAAACTGAATCCTGAACCTTCCCACGTTTATTTTCCATATGTTTTATTTTATATACCCCAATCCAAAAGGGGGGGGGGGAGAAGATCAAAGACCACTTTAACGTGACACAAAGGACAACCAGAACAATTGCTTTATTCAGTACTTGAGATATCAAGTCACTATTTCCTGAGTTAAGCATTAGATTTTTTGGGCAGGATATGCAGTGACTATACCCTAGAGCAAGTATCCTGTAGGCAGCCACTCCCTGGGTCAAACCTTCTGTTTTGAAATGAAGGGACAGGAATAGGCTTGAGTTCTCTGACCTTTGGTCAAGATGGAGCAGATCCACCTCCGTGGGCTGTCTTAATCTGAAACACCAAATAACCACTCCCTAGATCAGGATATCTCGTTTGTAGCTACACCTGTCGTTAACAACTTTGAAAGCGTAAAATAAGCTCAAACTCTCTGCCCTAGTCAAGGTGGAACAGGACTCACGTCTGTGGGCCCTGGCAGTATGTGGTGCCCTAGCCACACATCCTCTCCCTTTGTGGGAAGATCTGATGTATAGTCATACGTGGCTTAGATTTGGGAAGAGAGGCATGGAGACCTGAACTCTTTCCCCTGTGCCAAGAGGGAGGCAAAGATGGCACACGGATGTGCAGCGTGTAATCTATGTGTTTCTTGAGTAAATTCTTCTCTCCATAGTGTTCGAGGAATATGAAAAAATTGCCAATAAGAGCATTGAGGATAGCATCAAGAGCGAGACCCATGGTTCCCTGGAGGAGGCCATGCTCACTGTGGGTAAGAAGGGGCGTGGCTCTTGGCACATATGCATCCACAGCCCATGAAGGTGAAAGCAAAGGTTGGGATCTCTATAGTCAAAGGTCATACCTCACACCCAATGCTCTTAACCTATACCCTTTAGGTCAGGTCCCTGGGTTCATAGCACCCAAGAGTCTCAGTGTGGCCTGGTGAGAACTCTTCCCTGTGTTATCTATACAGTGCCCCATGTTGCATGAGAGAGAGAGAGAGAGAGAGAGAGAGAGAGAGAGAGAGAGAATACACATAAGTGTTACCACAGTAACTCCAGGACCAGGGCCCAGGCCTGCCCACAGATACTGCTTAATGAGCATCCTACTTCTGTTCCTGTACCCTGCTCAAAGCCACCTTTCTGGGTCTAACTGAAGTTTCAAGTCATTACCTTAGTCGCTAACTGAAGAAATGAGGGTGTGTGTGATTTGAGGCCCAGCCACGAGAAACCCGGAAACCTTTGCCTGCCAGAGGACTGAGTCAGCTTACCGTAACCTGCTCATAGCACATCTTGGGCCTAAAGCTGAAGTCATATGGAATGAGTCACAGTAGAGAATAGTCCTGAGCCAGGCAGAGAACCACCCCTGTACCACCTCACATAAGGGACCCAAGATGGGGATTCCCAGGCTAGGCACTCTTTCCAGGACAGTGTTGATGACTGTGGCAAAGTGTATTTGGTTTATCCTGTGTTGCAAGAGCTAGTCACACCCTCTGACGTCACCTAGAATTCTACCCATGGACCCTACATAACAATGCCTCCTCAACAGCAAAGGTGTGCCGGACCACACTGTGACAGGCAGTTCCTGCTCGTTTTTTCTTAAAGCCTTAGTTAATCAACCTCAGGTCACAGATGCATCAGAAGGTTGAGCAACAAAGTCATACAGAATCAGGACAGAGTTTACACACATTCCTATTCCCCATGCAACCCACACTCTCCCAGCCTTGGGTTAAAACACCGTCTCCCAATAGAAGATGCCACGGTCCATGAAAGATATTTCTATGGAAAAGAAAAATTGAGGTCCATGTTCCAAGCCAAGGAATCATGGTGCCTTAGTCCTTAAAGCCAAGCTTCTTTTGTTACATGAAAATACAAAACGCGGGGTTTCCACTCACAAGGGACTCGGAGACGTGTAGCCCCCATTCTGTGGCAACCTGTGTGGAACCATGTTGTCAGTCAAATTCTTAATGGAGGGGCTTCCTGAATGTGACAGCTTCGAGGTGTCCTCCTGAAGACCCTAGGTGATGACGCAGACGAGCCCCACAGGTGCCCACTGCATTCACATCTCACCTTTGACCTGGCTGCTCTGGGCTCTTGGAGCTCTGCCCACTGCCTGAGGCTCTGCTCCTTGCCTCCTTCTCTCTGCCCGACACAAACCCTCCATATTAAAGCTAGGTGGCACACAGAGAAACATGTTAGCCTTTACACAACAGTAGCCCTTAACACCCACAGGAACACGTAAACAAACGCAAGTGTGTGCAACACGGCCCACACCCTCCTCTTGTTGTTAACACAGTTTTTCTGTTTGCCAGTGAAATGCACTCGGAACCTCCACAGCTACTTTGCTGAGAGACTCCACTACGCCATGAAGGTAACCGTCCTGGCTGCCGCCTCCTTCACAATAAGTCACCCCGACAGGATGCCGGATGCACAGCCAGGGGGCTCAGAGCCACTGCTGCCTGAACTCTGGGGTCCCTTTTTTTCTAATCTCTCATGTGTCAGAAAGGTTTGCATTCTCAAAGGGCAAACTAGGGAAGGGAAGCCACAGCTCCAGAAGGGACATTTGAGCAGGTGCATTGACAGATGTTTGTTGAAGGCTCACTGAACGTTGACACCTCTGTGAGGTCCATGTCACAACTGCCAACTGAAATGTTGTGAAGCTAAGGCTGGATCAAGGTCACATGACTGCTAAGGGGGAGAGTCATGCGTCAGTCTTGAACCCATTGGGTTGGGCTTTTCATCGCACTATCCCTCCTTTCTGAGAACACATTTGTTGTTGCAGGCCGTAACACCCTTGACACAGACAGACTGTGGGGACATTCCCACATCTAGCGTGTCAGTTTTCCTCCCCGAGACCATGTGCTAGCTTCAGAGTTCCCGTTGTTTACAAGGCTGCCCTGGCTACAGAAGTGGACATATTGCTCTTTACAAGTAGAGTTGCTGTGATCCGGAACTAAACTGGAAGAGAGACATTTAAAGCAGTCATCAGTGACTAACATCAGTGCCCAACCTCTGGGCACTAACATCAGTTGCCAGCATAACTCTGGCAGCACCTAAAGTGAGAGCCAAACCAGCCCTCCGGACACACTGTCCCACGAAGGAGAAAGTGTGCTGTTTCCTTGGTCATGACCCGGGACTAGTCAGGGATGAGAGAGAGCCAGAAGGTCCTGCTGTGGAATGGCCAGTTGAGTAACATTGGCAGTGATGCCGCTCAAACAGAAAACCTTCCTGGAGCAATGAGGGTTTGGAGTATAGAACCTGATGTGGCAAAGCAAATCATACGGCAACCTGAAGTATTGGGCTTCTACTAAGGAAAGGCGCAGCCCCTGAGAGAGGAGACTGAGAAAGAGAGGTCCATTGTTGTGGGCTGTAAAGGAGCCCAGAGCACTTGCCCATCATGCACAAGTCCTCAGGTTCTGTCCCTAACACTACCAAGGAAAAGAATTTGGGAAAAAAACTATATTAGCAAAGCCCCCCTCTTGGTGTTCTCCCTACTGGTGCAGAGCCCCCCCACCCACCCACAGGTCTGTCCATCATTACAGAGGTAGATAGGAAAGGTGAGACGTGATGGCTGATTGGCACTGTCTTCTCCAGGGAGCAGGGACACGTGATGGGACACTGATAAGGAACATCGTCTCAAGGAGTGAGATTGATCTAAACCTTATCAAGGGTCAGTTCCAGAAGATGTATGGCAAGACTCTGAGCAGCATGATCATGGTAAGACACAGGTCCCTCCCTTCTCCGCCAGCCTGTGACACAAACATTCCTGGGACACAGATGTCATAGGTGGCCATCCCTTCTAGCAGGCATCTCACTCTTGTATGCTTACCATGTGGCACATGTAGGGACCAGGAAGGAGGAAGTGTAACTATGGGGAGTGTGTGGAGCTCAGAGGCTGCTCTTATCCCAGAGAGTGGCTGTGTGTCTGAGCTGCAGGATATGCTGAAGCCTTGAGAAGGAACGGTTTCTGAAGGGGCAATGAGACTAAGAAGTTTCGTAGAAATGGGGATTCCCTCTCGATCCAGATCTAAGGGGTCCTAGCAGGGAACTCAGGCTCCAGTGATTATCCACCTACATTCCAATTAGTGAAGGTCCCAGGGTGTTAAGTGCAGAGGGCTGTTACCGTGTTATGACTGAGGCCAACAGCCGTCTGGAAACTGGTGCAAATTGAGACCAGAAGTCAAATCATGGCAAGTATATCCCGGAGTCTTCCTTAGCTACTCAGTCAAGCGCTAATTCTCTTAGCAGGACATATTGCTGACTACATTTGAGAAACAACTCGTAGTTTACAATATAACTGGTATTTGTTGGTTCAGACAACCTAGGACCAAAATCATTCAGGAAAAGACGCGTCTGTACTAAACACATACATACTTTTTTTCTTGTCATTATTTCCTGAACGATATGGCATGACTATTTACATAGTATTCCCATTGTGTTTGATATTATAAATAATCTAGAGATTGTTTAAAGTATAGAAAGATGTATGTAATTTATACCCAAGGCCAGTGGCATTCCCTACTAGGGATTTGAGCGTATCACTTTGATATCTGTGGAGTCCTGGAACTATTCTTCCATGGATACTGAGGGCACCTGAGGTTTCAGACAGGATGGCATCAGGGAGGCGGGCAGGCAGACAGGGGAGTTGCAATTGTTATTTGCTGTGGTTTAGACTTCACAACCAATGTGTCAGGTGACAGGAGACTAAGAACAGGCTAGCCTGTGCTGCTGCTAGGTCACCCACAAGGTGCACCTCATCCCAAATGGTGTTTTATGGATGAAAGTGCAGGTACCACAGATGTGAAAGGAGAGTCTGTGTATTCTAACAGAACCATGGTCCAGGCCTACAGAACCTAAACCCAAGCTTTCTCTACCCCATGCTATGAGCTCAGATGTGACTCTGGGCTCCTTGCTTTCCGCCATGGCAGGAGTTGAATGCACATGGATCATGCTGAATAAGCGAATAACTCTGTGTCTCTGGAACCCGAGAGAAACATGAGGAAGAACCCGGGGCAGTTGACTGTATGAGGAAACCGCCCACAGGCCTTCCTTGTCTGAGAGCTTTAGAGCGGCTCTGTCTCTGTGACTCATTTTCCACAAGCACCCCCATTTATCCAGACAGAGAATTAAAAGGAGAATCAGCGGAACAGGGTGAAATGAGGAAGAAAGAGGGATGGTGTTACATAGAACTGTGGCATAGAAACCCTTGAAGGGACTGGCCGCGCCCAAGGAGCCCAACTCTTAGTCATGGTAACAGAAGACCAAGGCCAACATCACAAACACCCTTCTAACTCACATGTGCCTCTTCCTCCAGAATGACACCAGTGGCGACTACAAGAATGCCCTGCTGAACCTTGTGGGCAGTGACCCCTGAAGACATCAAAAGAGCAAGGGCAAGAAGAGTGAGCCGTAGGCCCAGCTGCTTCAGCCCTGACCCTGGGTGGGGTGGGGGGAACACCTCACCCAGCCTGTAGTCTCTGTCCCCCATTTTCCAGTGCTTTCACCCAATGCTCCTGACCCACAAGGTGAGCCCAGCCTGGGTTCGTCCTTCCACCTCTCCCCTGGGTCGTCTCTAGGTATTGCAAAGCCCACCCTAGCCTTACATCTGACCAAACAGAAATGTCAGAAGGAAGGAACCAGCAGGAGCCTGCGGGTCATTCCTTCCTCCTACAAAAGCCCCTGGGTGCAGGTTACACAGGTGCCTGGGCTCTGATCCATTTGCTGAATCAGGGTCTTTGAGAAGCCAACAAACATGGATTTCCATCAGGTGTCTCAGTGGCTGAGCTTCTTCATCAGGCAGCCAGTGGGAGTGCCGGAAAGTAACACAGCCAGGGCAACTGAGAAAGACCCGTGTCTCTGGCATTTGGGGTGTCTGTAACACTTATTACCAGAATTGTTAGGTTGCAGGTGGATGAAAATTCTTACACCATCCTAATAACAATAATTAGAGTAGACAATAAACCAGTCCTGACCCAAGTCCACTGTGGACTGGGAGACTTAGGCTTGTCCAGGTGTTGACCAAATCAGCCACTCGTTCCCTCCGTGGCAAAGCTTGCAGAGCAGGAAGGCCCCCAACCCTGGAGCATAAACCTTGTCCTCCTCCTGTGGTCCCTAAGCCTGAAGAAGCTGAGAAAACTCTTCCTAATATTCGTTGAGCTTTCAGAATCATAAATATTTGTACTTTCAAAAAGTCTGTGGCTTTGTAGCAGGTTTCTGTGCGTGCCCTGGGGTGAGAGTGTGCTTGCGTCCTTGGGGAGACCAGAGGTCAGCATCAAGTTGTCTTCTTCAATTTCTTCTCCACCTTCATTTCTTGTTGTTTCATTTCTTGAGACGGGATTTTCTTGTGTAGTCTGGCTGTCCTAGAACTAGCTCTGCAGACCAGGCTGGCCTCAAACTCAGAGATTTGCCTGCTGGGATTAAAGGTGTGGGCCACCCTGCCTGGCTCTCCACCTCATTTCTGAGACAGTGAACCTGGAGCTCACTATGTCCACTAAGCTTACTGATAGGTGGGCTCCTGGGGTCTGCCTGTCCCCACTCCCAACGATGAGGTTACAGACATGGAAACCATGCCCAGCCTTTATGTGTGTGTTGGGGATCCTAACTCAAGTCTTTGTGCTCACACAGTGAGCACTTTCTTCCTTGACCCATTGGCCCAGCCCATCGATGGATGCTTAGCAAGGATCAGAGTGAGAAGCAGAGTTTTAGGGGAGAACCTGTGGACGTTTCCCTAAGGGGATGCTTGGAGTGACATGTGTCCAACATTGCTCTGGGGACAGAACTTCTAAAGGGTGATAGTTTGCTTTCCCTTCCTAGTTTGTGACCAAAACTCCAATATCTCAGAGCTAGACAGGGTATTAAAGTTAGCTAGTCCTATTCCAACCTGAAGGTTTTTTGTATTCTATGGCATTCACACATCCAGGGTCATCCTTGCTGAATTTGGTATATATAGGGTATACTTGGCAGCATCCAAAGATGGGAACTTACTGGTTTCTTGGGTGGTCCTGTCTTTTTCCTGTTAGTGCCTGTAGATCCCTTCCCACCTAAGCCAAAGTCTGCCCCATCGTGCTCACTGCTCACCATGCTCCAACAAGGTACAAAATGTTTATTCTTTCCCCAACAATGGTTTACCAGATGCAGGCTACATAGTCCATTAAGAGGTATGCCCAAGCTAAATTTCTGTAGGCCTTCTAACTTTTCCTCCTGGATCCAGTTTTTAGCTATGGTCTCTGAACATGTTCTAGTTTGCAAACTCCAAAGAGTGGCCCCTGAGGTAAAGGTACTTCCAGGTGAGAGGTAAGGCTAGAAAAAATATGGATGCAGCATGGGGACTTGGATCTGCCTCTGCCATGCTGGCTCCATGACTCTGACCTAGTCACTTTTGTGTGTGTTTATTTTTCCTACCTGTCAATGCAAGTAGCATCCTGTATGACAAACAACCATGGAGCGGGGTGGAAACCATAATGTTCTGGTGCTCACAGATTACGTAGGTCAGGAACTCAACCATGAAACAGTGACAACATCTTATCTCTACTCCAAAATGTCTGGAGATGTCATGGAGAAAAGCTAAAGGCAGGGGCAACTAGAGCAAAGACTAGAAACATCTGCACCTGTGTCGGGTGTCTGGCGAGTTATGGAAGACTGCACTCCACTGTGCCCCCCAAGCTCTTACATACAGCTTTCCTCGCAAGGCAGCCTCATGGTGGGAGAGTTCTTCTTTGGTAGCTTAAGTTGCCATAGCTACCAGTGGACAGGAAGAACCATATTATCCTCTGTGACTCATATGGCTGCACTTTCCCCATAAGCTATGATTAAAGACATCACATGACACCCCATTTTCAAGGAAATGGGACACAGGCCTCATCTGTCAATGGGAAAATGGTCAAACAGTTGAGTGGTTGTGTTTTAATTCACCCTTAGTGATTCTCAAAATATGTCACAGTGTGCAGCACAGTCTACTCATATGAAAGGCTATGTCACAGGGGTGGAGTAAGCTCCAGAAGCCTTGCAAGGATGCCAGGTTGTAGGGTTGCTACGGGACCCAAAGAAGGGTAGGAAGGGTGGAAGCTGTCTTAGTTAGGGTTTACTATTTGCTGTGCAGAAGCATGACCATGGTAAATCTTATAAAGAAAATTCTAATTGAGGGGGCTTGTTTCCAGTTCAGAGGCTCAGTCAATCTTGGAGGGGAGCGTGGTGTCATGCAGGCAGGCATGATGCCGGAGAAATAGCCGAGTGTCCTACATCTTGCAGGCTACAGAAAGTCAGTTGACTGTCACACTGAGTGAAGCTTGAGAAAATGACTTCAAAGCCCACCTCACCCCGATAGTGACACACTTCCTACAGAAGGTGTGGCCCAGATTAAAAGTGTGCCCTTCAGCCGCAAGGTCTGGATTAAAGGCCTGTGTCATTCAGTCTCCTCCAACAAGACCATACTTTCTCTAACAAGGCCACACCTCCTGAGTGCCACTCCCTATGAGTTTATGGGAGGGGCTAATTATATTCACACTACTCCAGACGCTATATACAACATTTCCTAGTGCACTGGAGCCCCCATGACATCAGCTGTATGTTCAGCTGTGAGCACTGTAAAGAACATACATCTTTTCCTCACTGCTCGAGGGGCTTGAAAACCCAAGGGCAAGATGTGGTTTATTTAGTTCCTAGTGGGTTGTCTTCCCAGGGCTGCCTTCTCTCTATGTCCTTTGTGTTCACCCACAGAAAAGAATGTTCTTTGCCTTTCTCATCTATGTTACCAATCCCACTATGAGCCTAAAACTACAAAAAAAAAAAAAGGGCCCTATCTCCAATGCCATTCCACTAGGAGGGTAGGAGGACTTCAGCTACTCTGCATTGTTGAAACATGGCCGCTGCTATCGGCTGTGGCAGGCTATGTCACCTGGATACTGTCCCGAATGACGACACTTTCTTCCTTCTTGTTACTAGGTAAAGTCCTATGCCCATCTTCCATCCAGTGCTGAGTCACTGTCAACCCAAGTGGTTTAGGAGGAATTAGAATTTCTCAACTCTACAGTCTCATACTTACCAGGCACTCACTGGGTGCTGTTGAAATATGAGCGGCGTGGCACATCAGGGTACACAATCTGTTCAGAGTCCAACCCAAAAACAGATTTAGTGTGGAGACCTCCCAGGAAATACCATGTCCAAGTTCACACCTCACAGACTAATCTTTCACATAATCACACGAAACAGAACATGTGGCCATGTCTCATAGAAGAGGACACAGGGACAGTGTAGCAACAGGAGTTCTCTTTCTTCCCTCCATGCTCTCGGTACAAGAGCTTTGGGGACATGGAGGGCTCATGTGCTATCTCTGTCAGGTGGTTGCGTTGAGTATAACTGGGCGCATGACCCTGGTGGTGCTGGAGAAGAAAAGGGACCTGACCAGCAGCCTCCCCAGCCCTCCTGATCACTTTTGTTGGAACAACCTTTGGTCCAGACTGATCAATCCTATTCCAGAGACACAACTGCAACCATGGGACTCTTTAAAAACACACCCCATTTAAAGACACTTTAGGGGCTGCTTAACGCAAAGGAGGAACATGGAGTCATGACAAGGATTCTATGTTTGACCAAACTTCAGTCAGCCTCCTGTACCTTCTCCGAGGCCCATCCACGCCCTTCTCCAATTCCAGCTACAGCAACAACCATCTCACCCAGCATGACACTCTCCCTAGTGACATGACATCTGAACACTCTGACCTTTGTTTAGCAAGAATCCTGTTTGGTGACTTTTGTCAGAGTTTCTCTCTATCCCTATGTCTCCTCTGACCCTTAACCCTGCTCCTTGATTCTAAGTCCCCTTTACTTCTACTGTGCCTAGAAAAAAATAGAATCTGTGTGAGGTCTCTTTTCCCTTCGTGCAAGCCCCGAATAGAATTCATTCTTACAACGTTAGCTGTTGCCTAGCTCTGGTTTCTCTATGACCATGAGTCCTCTCTGCGTGTGGTCTAGTCATGACTCTGTCCTGGTGTCCCTGCTTCTTAGCTCTCTCAGAGAGACAACATGTCCAGGGGTCTGCTCCAGCCTGCTGTCAAGGTGTGTGACTCCCTTGGAGATAGATTCATGTTCCTCCCTTGCGACATGAACTGACAAACAGGGACTGAGCTGATTCCAGGAATTTCAGCCCCAATATGACTGTGATTTAAAACATGGTTTTCTTCCTGTAAAAGCTTCTGAGGACTTATAATAACCTCTTAAGAATTCCTTTCTGCTTAAGAAAGCTGTAGTATGGGGCTGGAGAGATGGCTCAAAGGTTAAGAGCACTGACTGTTCTTCCAGAGGTCCTGAGTTCAATTCCCAGCAACCACATGGTGGCTCACAGCCATCTGTAATGAGATCTGTTGCCCTCCTCTGGCATGCAAGCATACATGGAAGGAATGTTGTATACATAATAAATAAATCTTAAAAAAAAAAAGAAAGCTGTAGTAGCCAGACCTGCTGGCAGCTCTGTTACACAGTATTACTGTTCCAATCCTTTTTTTTTTCTCAGAAAAACTGAGTGCCATGAAGGTTAGAACTTTGCCCTGTTTGGTTTTGAGTATTCAGTATCCGAATTAGTTCTTTTTCTAGTTGCTATAGCCAAATATGACATAAGCAACTTAAAATAAGAAAGACGTGTTTGGGCCCATGGTTCCAAAAGCTTGGTGTTATGGTAAAAATAAAATGGCACCATTCCCCAAGTGGCTGCAGTGGGCACCCCGGCCACAAGGAGCTGCAGTCCCCTGAGTGGCCTGTGGTCCCAAGCAAGGAGCTGTGTGGCAGGTGAGAGTAAGAGACAGAGACGCACCATGCAGAGAAAATGGGTATTTATTCAGTGGGTTATGGAAGGGAAAAGGAAAGGAGGTAAGTGGAGAAGGGAGAAGAGCAAAGAGGCAGAGAGAGAGAAAGAGAAACAGAGTGGGGGGAGAGGAGAGGAGCCACTGTAGCAGCTGCCTCTTCAGAAGAGACAGAAAGGAAGGAGCTCAGGCTGCAAGCGGAAGGAAGATCTGCTTGCCTCAGCAGATGGTGGGAGAGTGGGCAGGGCTTTTCTCATAAAGGTACAGGACAGACCATTACACTTGGTCCACAGCTATTGGTTCTGCATTAACTGGAACAGAGCATCGTGGTGGTAGGCGCATAGGACAGAGAAGGTTATAGCATCATAGCCAGCGGAGAGAATAATGAACCAAACAT